ATGTCGATGTACTGATAACAGGTTAGAAAGCTCTACATCTTGTTTTATTTTACAAAAGCCAATTTAGACGTGGAGTTGACGGCAAGATGCTCTCAACTTGCGCTTGATCGTTTATCATTTTCACTTCTTGAAACTGCTTGGAGCAGCAGGTTTTTTTTGTTTTTGTTTTTAGCCAGATCTTCATAAAAGAAAAGCAAATCAGTGAAGGTTGGACTTAAAACTTGAGAAGAAGTTGATCCTATCGCTTAAGGAAAATGACAATTTAACTGCTTTAAGGTTCAAAGTTACTGCAAGGTTTGGATGTAACGAAATATGTTGGAACGTTAGCTTCCGCGGTTTTCGCTACTTTGTTCCTTCAAATTCAAGTTATAGGGCACCTATTTTTTAGTTTGTTGTTTGTCATTGCAATTCAAGCAATTAGCAAGTCGACATTGACTATTAAATTAGAAATGAACAAAATGAACGAGTCAATCAAATTCACGTCCTAGAACTCCCCAGGTGGTTCTCCAGGACTCTAAATTCACCGAAATTGTTGTTCATGTTTGTAAGCATTACGGAAAAAATTGCTTCACTTTTTTCAGAATTGCGAAGCCAGTTCAGAGAGCCACGTGCAAAACGCAGGTTGTAATATGCAAATTCCGTGGCGAAACAGACTTAAACACGAAGGCGCGCTATAAAAGGAGCCTTAGATCCCACTGAACCATTTGTCAATCAACCGTCGTGTGATGTAGAACTCTTTAAGAGTCGAGTCAGCTTGAGCTACAGCTACTCCAAAGCAGTGAACAGCGGGCGCATTCCTCAAAATTGTTTTCTGTCTTCATCACAATGCAAGAATTTTTGAGATTTGTATTTCCTTTCTCTAATGGAAACTGTCTTTATTTGTGGCGGTAAATTTGAGATTGAAGTAGGTGGTTCGCACGTTACCTCATGCCACCAGGCTGGTGGAAGTAAACAATAGACATCTCATTAGCTCCTTTTGTTCGTCTACCAGCATTTGAATTTGACCCGCACACGTCAACGGTGAGTAACTAATGAGCCAAGGTCTTCTCAGGGAAGACTTCCTTATATAGCGCGCCTTCGTGTTTAACGTTACCCGAGGGATTTGACAGCACTTCGCTTACGGTAATTTTGCTTTTTGTCGGATGAAGAAAAACTTATTTAGCGCAATTACACCGATGGAAAGCTTGATCTATACCGGGGCTGGAGAACGATTAGACGTGGAAAGGAAGGAGATTTAAGGGTATTTCACCCTCTCTTTCCATTGTAAACTTATTTCGTAGAAAATGATATTTTATATTTTTTATTGACGTCTGAACAAAACAGATTAAAAATTTTTATTAAAGGTATTATTTCATGTACTCATATTTCAGATTGACAAGAAGCAGAGACCAGAGACAAATTTGAACCTCGGAAAGAAAGCCAAAGTCAGGTGTGGATCCGCCAACGTCGCCGCCACACTCGCCTCTGAAAGGCAGATTTTTAAGTGTTTGCTTCAGATGGTTCGCTTGTTGTAACACATATGCGAATGTAGACAGACGTTTGGTTACACAACGCGCATGCGTTTGAAATAAATGCAACTACCACAAAGTGGACAACATTTTAATAGATTTATCAAAATTTTTTGTACGGTTGGTGGGTGGGGGAGGATGGTTGGAAATGGTAATAAATGACAATAAATATAATGTGTATGGAAGATAGTATTGTAATAGTAAAAAATGTTTGTACCAAAAGCCAGACGACTTTTATCAAGAATTAAAAAAAAAAAAAAACTGTCTTAAAGTGGTGGGGAATAATGGACGGGGATCCAGTGGTAAGGAACGTTTATTGCAGGTAGATAACTTTTATAAACTGCCTAATAATGCCAGGTGAAGTGGGGGATGGCGAACAGATCGAACCCCAATTTTTTTATTTATTCCCTGAATTGGGGATCGATCCAACATTTCTCCTTTTTTTTTTTTTTTTTTCCCAAGATTGAAATATATCTCTGGGCTCATGCCTAAGGTGATCGTGTTCCTTAGTATCCGGCTTCGGGTGGTCGAAGGTTCATATTCGATCTTGGTTTCTTTAGCTGGTTATGCTTCAAGAAATCTGTGAAGAGATGACAGAAAACTTTGGACGAAAATTTTTATTTCTTCGTGGAAAAGAGTGTTGTTTCCACCCTCCTTTGCACACAGTAATATGTTTACTCGTGGAGTGTTGACTTTTAATGTTGGGTTTCAATTATCCAATAAAAAGGCTCCAAAACGTATAATTAACAAATGGTAAACACCACAGCGTACACTATTGAGTTATGGATGCACGCGAGAGGTTGCTAAGCATGAAAGAAGCGTAAGAGTCGCTCGAGGCGATAGCCGAGAGCGACTCTAGCTTCTTGAGTGCTTAGCAAACCTCCTAAGTGCATCCATAACTCAATAGTGTACGCTGTGGTGTTTACCATTTGTTTTATAACATAACATTGATACATTGTAGCTAAAAAAAGAGTACCCTTTTATTTAACAAATCTTACGTGACCAGAAAAAACAAGCGCGCGGAAAAATAGTCTGTGTATTTGCTCACGTCAGCAGCGTACACCCATGGGCAAATGGGGGACGCTAAATTGACAAATCTGAGCGCGCGCTTTACTTTGGTTATGTTATAATTCCATTTGAACAGTGGTTGAAGTCAATGCATTTGTCGTTTATACTCCACCCTAAATATATCTTGGTGTTTCGTGCGTTATGACAACCCTATACACTTAAAATGGAGGCCAGAAAACTGCAACTGCACAGTGAATTTTTTACATCAAAATTGCGATAAAAGATTTCACTCATTTGGCTTTCAAAGAGGATGAAAGGGAGTAACCAACCCCATATTCGAAAGAAAATTTCTGATTGGCTGATCACGCATTGTAATAACCCAGCTCTCTGACAAACCTTAAATCACGCTTCTATGTTGTGTACCATCTGACAATAAAAAAAAAAAAAAACTTACCACTGACACCACACGAAGTTGATCATAGTCAGCTGATCCACTAAGAACCAAGCCATTTAAAACTGAGCGATCTTCTAATTCTTCCTGGGGTCCCGTATCAGGACTGGAAAAAAAAAGTACAGTCGTTTTTCTTCCAGAAAGTCCTAAAACCATCAAGAAGTTAGGGCATGAAGAGCTCTTCATGCCCTAACTTGAAATCGACCCACAGCTCCTGGGTCTCCGAGGATGACTCGACACTAGTTCATTGATCAGAATTCTACCAAATAGGTATTGCACTAATTGTGGGAGCGATGTTGAAAACTGCAAATTCTGCAGAACCTGTGGCAAAGGTAAGAGAAATGTTGCACATATTTTATGTTCTACATGTATATTATGGACGATCGGTGCGATCCAGTGTTGCCCATTTTGGCTCAACATCGACTTGCCCGTGTGAAAGTGGGATTTTGGGAAAAGAACGATCGTACAAAATGACGGTAAAGTGGAAGACCGAGTAAACATTGGGGATAGCAATCATTGACTTAGCCGCTGACCAATTGATGTAACGATTTGTATTTGATGTGAGCGATTTGAATTGATGTGACCGATTTGTAATTGACGTGAGTGATTCCAATTTAATGTGAGTAACTTTATTTTGATGTGAGTGATTTTAATTTGATGCGAGTGACTTTAATTTGATGTGACAGTTGTAGGCCACCGTATTACAGGGTTAATTGCATGACCAATCAATACTTCAAAAGAAATTATTTTGGGTGAAACCGACTCTTAGTGGGTCAGCTTTAAGTCTCCCATCTCTTCTACGAAGTCCAACGTCCGATCAGCGTATACAGACAGTCCAGCGGCCAAAACAGTTTATCCTGATTTTTGGGGACCAAGTCTTTGCATCACAGATCAAGACTAAGGAAGAGACTTTTGGGTGAGACCAACCCCTTAGAGGGTCAGCTTTAAGTCTCCCATGTCTTGTATAAAGTCAAACACCTCATCACCGCGTAAAGACAGTCCAGTGGCCGAAGCAGTTTATCCTCTTTTTTGGGGACCAAGTCTTTGCATCACAGTTCAAGACTAAGGAAGAGATTTTTGGGTGAGACCAACCCCTTACAGGGTCAGCTTTAAGTCTCCCATCTCTTGTACAAAGTCAAACACCTGATCAGCGCATAAACACAGTCCAGTGGCCGAAACAGTTTATCCTCTTTTTTGGGGACCAAGTCTTTGCATCACAGATCAAGACTAAGGAAGAGATTTTTGGGTGACAGCAAACCCCTTAGAGGGTCAGCTTTAAGTCTCCCATCTCTTGTACAAAGTCAAACACCTGATCAGCGCATAAAGACAGTCCAGTGGTCGAAACAGGTTATCCTCTTTTTTTGGGGACCAAGTCTTTGCATCACAGATCAAGACCAAGGAAGAGATTTTTGGGTGAGACCAACCCATTAGGGGGTCAGCTTTAAGTCTCCCATCTCTTGTACAAAGTCAAACACCTGATCAGCGCATAAAGACAGTCCAGTGGCCGAAACTGTTTATCCTCGTTTTTGGGGACCAGGTCTTTGCATCACAGATCAAGACTAAGGAAGAGATTTTGGGTGACACCAACCCCTTAGAGGGTCAGCTTTAAGTCTCCCATCTCTTGTACAAAGTCAAACACTTGATCAGTTCATAAAGACAGTTCAGGGGCTAAAATAGTTGTCTCTTTTTTTCAAGGGACCAAGTCCTTGTATCACGGATTTCCAAGTCAAAATCAGAATAAAGTCAAATGTCTGTCCAGTGTATAAAGGCCGTGTAGTTTCTGAGACAGTTTATCCCTTGATGTCTAAACCTACTTACCAAACAATTTATAAGAAATGTACCTCAGCTCTCAAACAGTCCAGTTACTCTTCATGCAGTTTCTACTGAAGTTGTCACAGAGTGAGAAATTAACGAGAAGCATTATGGCATGATTTGAGACTAATCTTGAGTTCGTTTTCTGTTTTTCTTGGACTGTCTAATATTTGTATGTTGTCAATATCAATGCTTATCTCATGAAATCAGCACCACCACCAAACATCCAGCAATACTAGCAGAAGAGCATCCTTCTAAAATGGAAAGTAAACAAGGAAATCTTTAAAGCCTCTTTCTCAAAATATGTCATTGAGTTTTATAATATAATAAAGTTTGACAGTTATCTAAGTACAAAAATACAATCATCCCTTTCTTTCTGCAATAACCTTGTGATTCACTTGGAATGATTTTTTTGCTAGCATCTGAGATTTCTTCTGTTTTTGGTTGTTTTGACAAAAAACCTAACAATAAAGACTGATTTGGAATTTTTTGCGATTCCTTCAATGATTCCACCACTATTAACTCAAATTTTGAAATGAATGTGCTATGTTTTAACAGACCTGGTTACTAAGGCCAGGTTCTCAAGCTAAATGGAGCTTAAAAAAAAAACAACAACAAGAAAACAAAATGGCTGTGGAATAGCAAAGTCAAAAGGAATATCAAAGATTTGTTTTTAAGACTGCAAGATATATTATTCTACCTCTACTTTAATTTGAAGTCAATTTTTAACTGATTCTTTATTTTTCCAAACTAAAATTGTGCTTGTCCCACAGACAGGTTATATCAAAGATTTACATGTCCAAACTCAATTTCTACCCATCCCAGACAATCAAACATAGGTTTTGGCCCACCCTGTAACTGATAGATCAGATATTTTCCTCAGCCAGTAAGCCACATGTAGTCAGGCTGTCAATAAATAAGATCATCAGCAAGCTAGCCTTAATTAAGACAACACTTCAGTCAGTGAATCTGTCATTTAATTCGTGAGTTTGCTAGTCAGAGTTCTGCAGTAAGTAGGTCACCAATGAGTCTTTGAGAGGGTCACTCAATAGCTCAGTAAGTCATTCTGTTAGTCAGTCAGTAACTCAATTGATCAGTTAGGTAATTAGTGAATTTCTCAATTATCCAGTGAGTCCATCAATGATTTATTTGATTAGTCAGTCAGTCAACCGGCCTGACCATCAATTAGAGAGACAAACATTTAGTAAGTCCCACAATCAGAGGGTCAGTTAGTCACTATGTCAGTGAATTGGTCACCAAGTTTGTCATGAAAGTTTAAATGTCAGTGAGTCAGTTAATAAATCAGTCATTCACTCAATAAGATACTCACTCATACAGTTGCTCTGATAGTCAGTCAGTTGGTAAGTCCATCTTATTACAGTGATTAGTAACCCGGTTATTCAGTCGTTCAGTAAGCCTGACAGCACAGATGTCCATTAGTCTGAATGTTGAAGTAAATGTGTTGTGGCAAGTTGATCAGTTATTACTGGTAATGTCAAAGGGAACATCGCAGTAATGAACCGGTCATTTTGTTGGTTTGTAATAAACCCATAAAGTGATAAATAAATGACTGTGAATGTTTAAAAAACATATACCATATTTATCCGTGTATAAGTTGAACCCGTGTACAAGTCGACCCCCCACTTTCAAGGTCAAAAATCAGATTTTTCATCGTTTCTAGTTAAGGAAAAATTCAGACCGATAGAGATTTTCCCAATGGTTGATCTCTTATGTCTGAGAATGTAATGAAAACAAGGTGAATTAAAGAAAACTGCAGAGCAAAATGTAACCGTGTGCTGCGAAGTTTAGTAGCACTTGTTTACATCACCACAATTCACAATATTTAACAATTATTCGCCAAAGGCGAGGTGAATATCATCGAATAATCCCCGAGACAAAGTTGAGGGGATTATTCGACAATATTCACTGAACCTGAGTAATTTACTATATTTTGTAAATCGCTTTGAAGATGAAGTCTTCATGCATTTAAATAACCTTTAACTTAATGTTGAGTTTGAAAGGAGAGTTAGTAGACCGAAGGAACAGCGAAGAGCTTCGAAGGATCGCTTATGATAACACCACCATATCAGACAAGACCATGTGAGAAAACAGCATTAGCCAGGTCACTAAGCTACTGTAAGCATTCAATGAAAACAAGGGTTCAGCAGCAAAGCTATAAAGAAAATTGTCTGCTCTACAGATCAGAAGATACAATAGAAATCAGCTCCAGTAGGTTTCTGTTTCAGCCACATAAAATTTATTATTTCAAACTTTTTAGTCGATGAAGAAGAAGCAGAAAACTGACAAAACTTGAACACAATTAGACCTGGTTTTGTAAACTTGTATATATAAGTCAGGGGTGATTTTTGGGCTGATTTTTCAGTCATAAAGGTTGACTTATACACGGATAAATATGGTATGTGATGACCAGCTCCCAGTTGGCTGGCTCAGTTGGTAGAGCACTGCACCCGAGTGGCAGAGGTCATGGGTTCAAATCCTAAACAAGAATGAATTTTTTTCAGGCCTTATTTTCACTACTGCTGAAGTAGTGGAAATTACTGAGAAGAACCCTTTGATATTCATTTCTTAACCCACAGGCCACATAGCAGTATCTAATACAGTAGTGAGATATAATTGGTCAAGCAGTGAAAGTCTTGTATCAATAATTGCTTAAAAATAGCATGAAAGAATAAAGCAAGAAAAGTTTCATTCACTGACTAATTGGTTTGATGATTGAATAAAGCATTTCCTATCATTATTATGCAACTGTACCTGGAAAACTGTTTCAAACACTGTCATACAAGACTTTATTCCGCTTGATTTTCCAGTATGAAAGTCATCTGAAATAAAGTGTATATAACAGCTTTTATTTTGGTGTTAAGAACATTTATTTCATGTAATTGTTTCAATAATTTCTTTGTGCTCTCTTCAAATGATACACAATCATTTACTAACATGAAGAATAATAGTAAAGGATATTTACAGAGACATTTAAGGTGGCATATTAAACATGTGTCTCTTTCACCAACACTTGGATGAATAATTAATTCAGTAAAAATTTATATGTTGCAGTTTAAACCTTTCATTCCCATGATTGCATTAGTAATTCTCCTCACTGTCTGTCATACGATTCTTATGATCTTGGTTTGGAGAATTTGGTATTTGGATCAACTGATAATCCCTGATTTTCTTTTATCTTATTCTCATTATTTGTCTGCTTGATGTTGTGTTGATGTTGTTAGGAGAAATTCTGTCTTGGTCACTCATGGGAGTTAAAGGGTTGAAATGAATGCAGGTCAAGATAATTTTCAATTATAAAATGTAGTTTGATTGTTGTCTTTTTTTCCTTTGTATCAGTAATTCTTAACTGCAGAGAAATATAAGCCTAGTTTAATATCATCCAAACCTGAAGTCCATTTTAAACTTGAATGTGTATACCAACAAGTAGCAGGTCAAAATATATTGCTCACTGAATTTCCGAAAAAAAATCTAGCTGCATAATGCTCGTTTGCTTTTAAAGGATGAGGTGGAGAATATTGAACAAATAACCAATGTGCACCCTTTAATAATGTTTAAGCAAAGTTGGTGGCCTTTTGCATTGATTGCCACCTTGCAGTAATCAAACCTAGAAGCATCTGAATTCCAAAATATTCCTTATACATTTTTGCTTGATTATGGAGTGAAGCTCCCAGCTTTGAGCCAGACAAATGTTACACTCTTGTTTGGGCTATGACCAGCCAGACAAGTCTAACTGAAACAGAACAAGAGCCAGACAACACTACCTACCTTTACACCTTTACAAGTTTACATGCAACTACCAATGGGCCCAATTTCAAAGCCCAACAAGAGACTACAGCAAGCCAATCATGCTATGTTTTGAATCTTATTTATGCATATTGCCACTTGAAACTTGCTGTCACTTAAATAACATGACATAGTTACACAGTCAACGAGCTATTTGCTACAGGCTAATACAAGTTTTATTGGATTGAGATCTAATAGCTGTTTGTTCTGGGAACCCAGGTCCAGCTAAGGCCTACTGATTGGCTACAATGTACATTGATATCTTTGTTTAGGGGAGAGCTTGTGAGAAAACATGCAAATCAATGCAACTGAAGTCCAGGTACAAAGTTTATCGCAAAAAAGCAAGGGAATAACTTCAGAATCAAGAAGTTTCTGTTGAATATGATTATTATACCTTGAGCTATGTATCAACTATTCTCAAAAACAATTTTTCCTCAATATCTTGTGATCATTTTAAATAATTCTTTCACACAAAAATAGAGATCAAAGTTTCAGCTAAAGAGTGAATGAAAAAAATTGTCAAGACTGAAGGTCTCCAGTAACCTTAATAGGATTCCGTGTAAATGAAATAAAGAAACAGGCAAAACCATTCACTGGAACAGTGTCAAATGAGTTTGCAGTGTAAGTAAGGATCACACTTAAAGCTGAAAATTATGACATATCAGTGAAAAGTATGAAACAAGGAAAAATGCTAGACTAAGTACTTACCCAAAAAGTGTGTAATGGTAAAGGTTGTATATTTCTTGTTGTATCGAATTGAATTGAATTGAATTGAATCGAATTGAATTGAATTGAATTGAATTGAATTGAATCTTTATTAAGTCATAAGATAAATAATCACATATCCTATGTTACAACATTAAAAGAAGGTATATATATAAATTACAGAGAAAATCAAGATAAAAATTATAAGACTAGATTATGTTTAAAAATTAAGCGATTAACAAACGTGTTTTTGAACCTATCAGTGTTTATTTTAGGATGGTGACTTGTCTCTTTCCTCAGATTGTACTTGGTTGATTTCTTTTTTGGCATTATAGCTCTTAAAGGGTGTATTGTGTTATTAAAAACATTCTTGAAGATACGTGTGTCCTGTTGAACTAACAATTCATAAACATTAATGTGGTCGGATGTATACTTGCGCTTATAACATCGATCTAAGAAACATTGGATTGTTGTTAATTCGGAATTTACAGCGCCAAATACGGACAGCCCGTATAATATATTTGGTAGAACCAGATTTAGAAACAGATGGTCTATTTCGGCCTGATTGTACCCTTCTTTCCTTAAAGATCTTAAAATGAACAGGCACTTGTTTGCTTTGATTAGTTTTTCCCGAATATGTGTTATGAACCTACTGTCTTCCTGAAATGTTACCCCTAAAATAGTAAGCTCTTTTGTCTGTGGTATTCCAGACACCATCGGAAACTCTATTGTACAACCTTTCTTGCGGAAAATGATTTCCTTGCACTTAGATGGATTGCTACACATACCATTACTTCTAGACCACTGGGAAAACTGATTAATCAGTGCGATAGAATTGTCATTATCACCTATCACAGGCGAGATAATGGTTGTATCATCTGCATATTTTACCAGCACGCTCTTATTGTCCAAGTGTATCTCTAAATCACTGAGAAAGACATTGAACAAGTGCGGCCCGCTGACACTTCCTTGGGTGGTACCTTTGTTGACACTTTTCCATTTTCCAATAAACCCATTTCTAATGACTCTCTGCTGCCTGTCTTCCAAAAAGCTTAGATACCAGTTAACTATAAAAGGATTTAGGGGGAGTTGCTTCAATTTGTGTGAGAGGAGATCGTGTTTCACACTATCAAAAGCCTTGCTGAAATCCATAGCGAATAGGCATACCGCTTTGCACTCTGGGATATCAAGATATTGATTGACAGTATGTTGGATAGTCAGTAGAGCATTGGTACAGCTCCCTCCCTTTATGTATGCAAACTGTGAGATTCCAGAATGTTCATCGAAGGTCTCCCTTGCGTGTGTTCCTAAGACAGCTTTCTCAAAGCACCTTGCGATGACAGGTGTCACATTTATTCTGCGGAAGTCTGATATTCCCTTAGGTATATCAACCTTCGGCAAGGGGTACAGGTCTGACTTTTTCCAAGAGACAGGCCAGGCGTGTGTTCTAAGAGACAGATTCCAAATCCTGGTGATCACTGGAACGAATAGCTCGGCGTGGTCTTTCCATATAGTATACGCGATGCCATCTGGTCCGGTTGCTGTTTTCTTTATACGCATAAGAGAATTCAGTTGAATCAGTTTAACCTACTTCTGCCATGCATGTTTGGCCTCCTAAAAATTCAATACAACCATCACAGATCTCACTGATACTCCAATATGTAATCTGAGGCCAAGTTTTACCTTTTTGCAGCCTAAATGATTCAACATACTATCACTGCTTTAAAAGCACCTTTGCAAATTCTGAGGAGCTGAAAACATTCAAGGGCAAAGAGCATGGCACATGAGAATTTAATGAATGTTGCAAATTTTTGTTTGAGAGGGGATAGAAGGATATCTCAACTCATGAATTTGAATATATTGTGTGATCCCTTTGGTTTATAGTGGTCGGACAACAGAAGTCCCATCTGACTCTTAATCATAATTATTGAGAGTCCAATAAAAAATGCTTTAAGCCAGCCACAAAAAGACTGCAACTGAATGTCTGGAACCTAGGGGATGGAATAGTGAATACCTACTTTGAACATAAAAAACCAAGAGCAAGTACACTCCTACTAGTAAAACATAGATTGTCATGTTTAATCAAATGTGCTATTATGTTTGACCTTTGCAGTGGAGTTGTATATAAAGAATAATGCATGAAGCAAGCTAAGGAAACCATGAACTCTGAATCTGATTCTTACCTTTGATAATTATTTCTTCCATAAATCTTTTTGCAGTTGAACTTAAAATTGTTGAAAAATAATGTACAGTTTTTGTAGCATTTAAGTTGTAAAAAGCTCAGGGATTGAGGTTTGCAAATTTACCCCGTTTGAGAAAACGTGATTTGTGACGTCACTGAAAAAGTAAGGTCACATAACATTTGAAATCACGAGAAACCTATTTTCCATGGAGAAGAATTTATAACTCACTTTGATGTATCGTTGCAAGAATTAAACCAGTTGTAACTTGTAATCACACAGAATTCTACAATCCATACCTAATCCAGCTCCACACCTAATTTCATACTGTACTGCGTACTTTTGAATCTTGGGAAAGATTTCCGTGTAACTCGACATTATTCGATAACAAAACATCGGTCCCACGGTTCATCTAATGTGTTCATCATCGTGTTCTTTTAAGAAAGAACTATATGTGTAATTAGGAACTGGGTTATACGAAAATACTACCCTGCATTTCAATTTTACCATATGTTGACTAAAGACCCTGTTTGCTTACAGAGATAATAAGATTAGAAGGAAAGTAAACCTTACCTTCAGAGTGAAAACAGACAAATTGAAGCAGATAACCTCCTCCTAATTCAACCTGCACAGCCTGTAACCAACAGAAATAAAGCTATCCAGATTACGAACAAACTAACGCGGCTACCATTCCCCTGAAGTAATATTTCAAGGTCAAATAATTTTAAAAGTTGGGAACAAACCTGTTAAAGAATGACAGGCATGGCCGGCGCCGGACAAAAAATTGTTTACTCGCAAAGACAGGTGGGAAATAATAGAAGTGACGTAGCGGGGACCATTGAGGAGGGCGAACACTAAAATTCCTCGACTTTTCCTAACGACCTTTTCCACAACTTTTCGGATTGTACACTTTTTTTAACCATGACTTCCCATTAATAAAACATATGTTGTTTATGTTTCTTCCATTATCATCGTATGGTTTTTCACTGATTTATTCACCATTTCAACATTTGCTGTAATTATTTTTATTCCATTTTTTTTTTATCTTTTTCTTAATTAATTGTGTTCTCGGTGCATTGCATATTTTCTTCGATCAAGCAAATGGCTGACCCTTAGTCCCAAACTATGAGTTACCTGGCCCTTTGCCGAAGACTTTCATTTCCAGGACCCATTTTGTAAAAAACCTTTTGGATTCTTTGGGCTCTTAACAATCAATCTTACTTCTTTTCAAATTTATCAAATCCCCCCACACCCCCAATTCATTAAAATTATACTCTGACGGGCGGCTTAATCCTTACCTCAGACCTGGGATAAGGTGATCTCATTTTATCGGACTAAGTCGATCGATAATAGCTCCCAAAGATCCACAATAACTTGCTACAATAACAAAGGTTAATAGCACAACTTGGACTGAGGGAAATAAACGCTGAGTTACGTAACGGTAACGACGCACTCGAATAGTAAACTTGTGATTGCAACATTCACCTAGATCATAGTCACGTGATCACTGAGAGGTCGTGAACGAGTTTTTTGGGAGAGACATGTCGAGGGGGTAAATGATTTCCAGTAGGTTACTTGCATCGTTTCAAATATAGGATTTGTGATAAAAGATTTGTCAACTCAGATGATACAGAATCCTTGTCCCCCTAGCCCAGTAATTTGCACCAAATGAAAACGATTTCGTTCTCAGCGATTTTTTCTCAGGGATGATATGTGTCGCATCAGTTTAGTTTGGAAATCATTTAGTTCCACATAGCGGTGTGTTAGGAGTCTTTGAGAAGGGGCAGGACTGACCACGGGCAGAACAACGGCTGAATAGGAATTCGCCCCCTTATAATTTATCCAAATACACACAAAAGTCAGCACTTTAATGTTCAACAAGCAGAACACTTCTTTGATTTGCTTTGTCCTATTGACACCTTGTGTGTTCTTAAATACACTTTTTGATATCTTTAGAGAGTAGAAGAATGTCCACAGTGAAAAATTATGTATTTTTGATTTACCAAAGGAAGATTTTGTTCCGGGGGAAATCCCAAAATGAGAAATTTTTCATATAAATAATTATAAATTAAACCTCAGCTCTTATCAACCCTACCAAATTTCGCAATTTACTTTGAATACATTCATCCTATTCAATTCAAAGTTAACTGTTGAGGGTATCGTAGGAAAACCAAATTTAGTAGAGCTAAGTGGTGAACGTTTTCCAACGTAGCTATGATGAAAAGTCCCAAAACAGTGCTAAAATAAAGCAACTAAAAATGTTCCCAAAATGAACTAGCAAACTGATATCCCACAGTGTTATCTCCTTCAGGAACGAGGTATCACTGTTACACTGAGCGATAGGTTCTTTGCTGTTGACTGAGAAAGTCACGCAACGAATCCATCTGCGAGAATTAAATGACCACAAGATGTCGGCTGAAGACGTTGGAAGCTGAATGTTCCCCTGTTGGGTTCATAACTAGTGCAGTAAACGAGGGAAGCAAGGGAGTACGAAGGACGATGGGTACTCTTCTACTGCGCTCGTTGTGGAGAACTCGTTGTGAACAACTCTATGGACGAACCAGGGCGGAATGACCGCGATATAGCCAGCTATTAAGTCCGAAACCATTTCATGCGATTTAGAATGATTTGTACCAATAATATCACTTTGGGCTGGCGTTTCCTGATTGGTTGAGGAAAACCATGGAAGTCAAATCATGACCGTCTATAGGACAAATACCACATGCGATCTCTAAACTGTCAACATACTTCTGTAAACAACAGTTCCCAGCGGATCTTGTAGAATATGATCATGAATGTGAATGAACAACGGAATGTATGTTAAAAAGTCCAGGTAGTCCAAACAGGCCGTCTTGCCGAGGATTTTCATGGTTTGTTCTTTCTGATCATCTGACAGACCACCAGCCGTAAGTCCCAACATGAGCTCCTCAAGCGAGATGGTCTTAGTTGCTTCGTCAACGTAGCACAGAAACAGCCGCTAAAAAGAAAAGTTAAAACGTTAATACCATGAATTTTTTGGAAGCGGCAGACCTTTGATTTGCACAACTCTCAGTTTATTCAGGAAACAGTATTCTCGTCTTATCACCACGCGGGGCAGCATTTCTGAGCATGCCAACAGATTGCACACATTTGCTTCTAGCACAAAATAAAGTCAAAATAACATCCGCCAGAAAATTACTCTTGATTCTTACGTACTCTAACTTTTAACTATTCTAAAGAACTCCCACCAATCCTCTGTCATACCTTTGCTTTCTGCAATTTGAAATCCAATTCTCTGAAATCCAACTTTGAAATCAATATTTTTGCAAATTCACTGAGGAATAAAATTTTTGCATACCTTATGAGTAAATTCAATTTTACTAAATAGTAACGATATGAGAATAAATAAGATTCGGAACGATAGAATTTAAAAGTAATATAAAGCTACGTACTCTAACACTGCGACGCGTTGAGAAAATGCAGCAATCACGGAAAATAACTTCAAATCCACTCCAGAGTCCAGGCTGCAATCACACAATTCTAGTACCTAGAAAAAAGTAAAGAAGGATACGAAAATCAGCATCGGGCCCACTTGAAACTAAAAAATAAGCTTGCCCTTTCTTGGACAATACCATTGGATGATTATCAGTAACGCTAGAAGCGCATTTGAAACACGAACTAGCTGGACAAGTAGAGTACTACCACCCACAGAACTCTGGTTATCGTACGTTTAACACAGGGTATCCACTCAACGTGGGTTCCCCTTTATAAACGTTCCGTGAGATAAATTATTACTTACTCGGTAAATGTAACTGATATGAGAATCCGAAAGCAGGTTTGAATTAACGCTTTCAAGGGCTTCAAGGAGATCTTCGGGAAACAGAAATCCATCCTTGTCTTCATCAAACTACAGAAATAAATAAAAAAAGATGTCTTATTAAAATCAACAATCCTACGGGAGTCATTTATTTCGATGATTGAATCGAACTCTTTTATCTGGTCTGTATAAAACATACTTACTTTAACCAGATGAAACAGGCAGGTTACACTTAAGCATTGTGAAAATTGGCTGTGAGCTTGAAGTTTCAGGAGCTACAACCTCTTGAAAAGGAAACTACAATTGACGGGTCTCCGCGGGTGTGAGACAAAATTATCATACTTACGGATCTGAAAATTCGACGGTAGTAATTAGCTTGTCCTTCGCTTATGATGCAATACTTTGAAAGAAAGTCATCTGCAAGGAAAATAGGTATATAACTAAATGGACGTAAAGCAATATTTTGATTCATCTCAGCCCTAGGAGGGCTTAAGGGGTTTCTTATTCAATAATAGTATAATAATAATAATAATAATAATAATAATAACAATAATAATATAATAATTAACAATTATTCCACGAGCGCGCGTTGGATATGAGATGATAGATAGCCAACGAGGCGCGTAGCGCGTAGCGCCTCGTTGGCTATCTATCATCTCATATCCAACAAGCACCAGTGGAATAATTGCTTTATTATAAACTGAAAAACGCCCCCAAGATATTAGACAAATCTTCTCGACTATATTTTGTAAGAAGAAACCAGATGTTACAAAGTACAGATATTAGATTATGGTATATCAGCTCATATACCATAATGGTTAAGTCAATAAAAAGTCTTGAATTGCATTATCCAATGATCCAGTTTTTAATAATAATATTTATCCAAGTAACTTATTTCAAGTAGCCTACCCCTTGACCCCTAAACCCCCGGTTTCTCATACGCACAGAGAGACACCGCATTGTGTCCAAGAATACAAGACAGTCAACCTGGCCAAGGATCGAAGGGGAGATCTTTCGATCCGGAGTCTAGAGTGTTAATCGCAGGGAACGAAAGAATGTTCGCTTAGAGGACCAAACACAATAGCATTTATAGAAAACTAGACCGTGACATGCGCAAATTTCTTTGGCTTGAGATGACTGAAATTTCTGCTCGGAACTGATTCCTACGAATTTCTGTCTAAGCAACAGAAAAGTAAGAAAGAGATAAACCTTGCATTTCCAGATTCTCCACGAAATTTTCGAGTCAAAGAGAGGGCAGCTACCGGGTAGGTGAGACGTAGATGGATATTTCAAGTGAGGAGAGACACATGTACGAAGAATAAGAATTAACGCCTAACTCGCATGCAGTGTTTTCCTTTGGACTGAGTGTGTTAAATTCTTGTGTTTTATTCAGCGGGATTTTTTTCCTCGAGAACTTGATTAGTTTGGATCAAATCCGCCCTGCTTACAGTTACTGCTCTCTGTTCTGCTGGTTCAAAATATTAGATCGCTTTGAAAAGACTTCGGTTTTTTTGAAAATTCACAATCTGCCAAAATAAGGCAAACTACCCACCCAAATGAGCAGAATCACCATAATTATCAAACACAGGGCTCAGCACTTGAATGTTTCTCTTTGATTTTCCCGTGGCTGCCAGTAATTTCTTTCTCCTGTCCTCCGCCAGCTGCTGACGCATCAGCTCGTTGCGAATGCTGTCATCTGTCTGCGCACGTTGCCTGACTGGTTTAGTCGGCTCTTGAGAGCTTTCTTTCCTCACTGGAAACATGCTGAGGCTACGCTTAGGAGGTGGTGGCATCCGAGTTACGCTCTCTGGGGACAAAAGATGAAGAGAAATTGAATTAAAAAGTTACGGAACACATCAGTAATGGCCTACTAAGGAAAACATACCGAAGGGTACAAATGACAAGCGACTACGTAAATACCTCTCAAATGCTAACTCAGACAGCTTAACATTGTATCTTATATCTTATATTTCAGCCTTGAAATAACCCTTGGAGTAAGATTTTTCCGTTACCCAGTTTCATCAGTAGCCCAGGAAATTCTAGCTTTTTTAAACTTGAAGGTCCCATGGAGTTTGGGGCACAACTCTTTGCTAGAATAATAAAATCAAGATTAACTTAAGCGATCAATTTTTAAAGGTTCATAGAATACATCAAATAAAGTCTGGATGCGTTTTAAATTGCTTAAATAATACATCAGTGGTAAAATCATGCGTGAGTTAAAAAAAGGCAGGAAACGCACATGGTTAAAAGGCGATTTGTACCTGGTCTCTTGGGTATTTCAGGGACGATTGGTGAGATTCTGTGAGGTTCTTCTTCCTCTTCTTCTTCCTCTTGCTCGTCTTGGGACGAAGCTCCCTCTTCCTCCTCCTCGGCCTCTTCCAACAGAGAAAGACTGGATTCACTGAGTGCTTTCACTTTCTTTTCTTTCGCTATCTTCTTCATCTTTTTTTTCTTTTTCTTTTTCCTCTTTTCTTCGTTTTCTTCCTGTTTCTCCGGTTTTGGCTTCTTGGATTTTCGTTTGGTTTTAGGTGACTGCTGAAACAATGGAGTATTAAACTTGTTAAAGACACAAAATCGTATCGTGGTTCAACAATCCTGGAAACTGCCTGATTGTCAGATTATCTTTACTGGCTGAATGCAACATTACAATGCACGGCTTCTGAGGTCACCCTTCCATCACAATTCCTTCTAGCCCTAATCCAACCTCCCCTGCTCCACCATTGACAACTAGAATCAATTTTTACCTTACTTCATATCTAGACCTAAAAATTGTGAAAAATTATATCAATTGTCAACGCGTACTCTCTGTTTTATGACTGAAACCTTGCACTTAGCAAAGGACGCACCTTTTCACCTTGCAGAGAAAGGTCCACTGATGAACTCTTGGATACGATAGCCACTTAGCAAAAAGAAAGGAGGAAAAGATTAGTAAATTGTACAACATCCGAGACCATAGTTGCTTTTCGCTGCTCACATATGTTATGAAAGCTACCATTTTTTCTACACTTTTAAGTCTTTTAAAGCGAAGAGGAAAACAAATGTGCTTTTTTGAAAGTCAAGCTCGAGGTAACGATAAATTCAAGTATTTATGGAGCGATAACCAGTCTTGCCCGTTCGGATAGCCAGTCAGAACACAAGATTCGTTCATCTTGCCGGCTCGTCGAGCCAGAAAAGAAAGACTATACTTAAAGACCAAAGTTATATTTGAGATGATAACCGCAAACTTAACCAGATTAAAAAAAAAAAATGTTTTCAAGCGTCACAAATCAACTTCGACAGAAGCTTCCTCAAAAAACTCTTTCTCTATCATATCCGCTGGTTCAATCATTGTTACTGATCCTCGGTCGAAATGACACTCAGTTGTAGGTACTTTGTAGGACTTAGGTCATAAAAAGACGCTGACCAAACGGAACCTACGATAGGGTTCATCAAAGCCACTATTGGGTCACGAACGAAAAAGTAGCTTACAATTGATTTCCGCCACCTTTTTAGTCACTAAGAAATTTGTGTGTTTAGCGGCTACTTCTGCCGAAAGTACCACTGAAAAGCTGAAGTCAGTTTGCATCTTAATCCACAATGATCAAACGTGTTCCTTAAAGGCGCTACTACACAATCTTTTCTATCCGGCACGTAATGAAAAATCAACTTAGGCGTGTGGGAAACTACAGAAGAGTCGCTTGATTAGTTAAAAAGAACATCAACATGAATAGAATTAAATCAGTAAGCATCGGGGATGACCCAGGATGTGGAGCATTGGCACATAATGCTAATTAGAAAATAAAATAATTCAGACTACATTTTCAAGACGGTCATGTAGTAAATTGGCTCATTTAGAGTACGATAAAGAATGAAAAAAAAAAAAGAGTAAACTATAGTGACCTTAAAACTGCAACTAACCTTTAGGGAGTTTAATTGCAGTTTCTTTCGGTTTCAACATATATCAGCGTAGTTATCCCGGAAGCAACAACGCTTAAAATTTTTCTAGGCAAGGCAATGCACCTTTCCTCAAACGAAACACAAACAGAAAAGCCTTCATTCACACTATCAAGGTCCTAAATCTCTTGTCAACTCATGTTCTTAATAAAAACTTTAACTCCAGCACTTACCTCTGCTTTGAATCTGTGAAGCTGTTTCCACAACTGAATGCACAGTTTCCTCTTCCCAAACTTCCTGTTCCACCAACACCTCCTTGTTTTCAGCGCCACAAACAAATTTCTCAAGGTCTGGTTGCTCCTCTTCCTCTAAAATAACTTCGTGGACTAAGTCTCTCTCTCTGTCTTGCTCTTCTTCAAGTAGCGAAGATGGAGAGGTTCGTGCCAAGTCAGGCTCTAAAATGCAAACGAAGATGCCAACGATTGCAAAGCACTTAATGATTTCATAACGATCTTCTAATATGTTCGTTTAATTGTTTTGCTCGCCTTTCTATTACACTCACAAAACAATCATCACTTATCTTTTAGCCAATTACAGTGAAGACGCTTTCCTTTCGAGTAATCAGCGGTGCCAAAATTTGACAGTCAAACTCCTTCCTGCTTTTATTTTAATTAATTGTCCATTAGTTAAGACAAGGAAAATTTATTCTTCTTCTCTAAGAAAAAGTTGCTATATTTCCTATAAAAATCATAATCCAGAAACTGGTGAAGCTACGCTATTTCACCCCTGAGAGCGACCAGCATCTATTCTAAGTTCTCTTTACGAAGTCACCCCTGAATTACTCATTCAGGTCACAAGAAAAAAGGTAAAAAAAAAAATTCTCCTTGTCATCACCTTAGGAAATGTACAGAGATCAGTAGGAAGAATATAGATACTAACGTTAGGGTGTAAAGGATCAATATAAAAAAATAAGGGTCAATATAAAAAAAAATAATACAAGGTAATTGTACAGGCCAGGGACTTGATCTTTTTTTTAGCAAACAAGCGTTTTCAAACCATCTTGGACAGATTCACTGAACAACTCGATTCCTTTGCAACCCGCTCCTGACACACCAAGAATGACAAGAAATCAAGCATGACCAACATGAGTGCTCCTTTTGCATCTCTATGTATCTCAATTCTCCGCGCTTCGTTTGCGACACTGACAAATGGTGTTCGCAACTTCGATAGAAAATATGATAATGATAAAATTAAATAAAATTCTAAAATAAATGCACCTGTAACTTCTCCGTATACTTCTACTCTCATTGCAATGCTGTTTTTCCAAGACTGTGGTATAAACCGAACAAATCTTGCTTCCACTGGATTTTTAATGCTATTAATAGCAATCGTGTTGTTGTCTCTGTTCCCGTTGAAAACCTGCAATGAAAAGTGATCGTACTATATATATTACCAGCGGGGACACAAGTAAACCCACACAATTCAGCAAAACTCTACAATGTATGTCAATCTAAGACGTAACTAAAATCTCGACAGATAAATTAGTTCGGTCTGAATGAACCCCTTTAAAATTGTGCAAAATCCTATGATATAAGTAATTTAAAATGAATATAATGAAACAGAGATTTATGTATTTAGCTCAGCCAAGGATGATCTCTCGCAAGGTTTCTTACTTTAAAATTCTGTATATTAACTTCAGCTTCGAATACAAGGCGGAAAGTTCTCAGTTGTTTTTTAGGCCATCTGTCAGTTGTCAGTTAAATGACTGTTAATAATTAACTCGGCGAGTTAATTATTGCTTTCCGACCCTATTTTATGCCAAAAAGGCACATATAGCATAAATTAAAAAATTAAGTCGAAAATTGATAAAGTAAGAGCTCCTTTTTCTCAATTCTGGAATAAAGTAATTCCAAGATATCCCAAGTGACTTTCAGTCTTTGTTTGAAGGGTGTTTAAGTTAAATTATCACTCTTCTGCACACAAACTTCTGTACGCCCGTGCGCAAAATTGCAACATTTCTTTTCAACCTCAGCCGGTCAAAATTTAGAAAGAAGATCTTCAAAAGGAAAACAAACCTGTGAAGAGCCCTCAAGCACAATATTATGTTTTTATGTTTTGTTTTATAATGCGTCGATTGCGATTGACTCCGATGAAATGATCCGGCGGAAAGGAATGTTCCTTTGTCTACTTTCCAATTAGGTTATTACAGATATCTACTGTAAGCTTATCTTAGAAATCCAAGCGAAAATGGGCGTGAACTGGTCGTCCTCTGAGTCCGTGTGATATTCGTCTGCATATGCTTGCACCTCAGCAACTTCCACTTCAACGATACAGTCAGCTCCTTTGTCGCTGCTGAGCCCTACTGGCTGAAAATCATTCCCTAACCCGGCTAACAAGTCCACTTTGGTGGAATCTTGTTGCTTCGTGTAGACGGCCGGTGGTAAAGCCCCTCCCTTGTCCTTCTTAATTTCCACCCGAACTGTCCTTTGCCTCGAGGGACGTTACTTCTCCGCAAATTCTTTCATAACACTTTCAGTCTCGGGGTTGATTTCTTCTGAAGGCAGAGGTCGCATAAAATTGACATTTGCAAACTCCGTGCTGGTCTGAGGGACAGGATAGTGGGATTTTTCATGAGTAAAATACTTGGCTGCTCATTTTGTTACTCTCTTCAGCGACTCCTTGGTAATTATCCCAAAGTCTTGAGAACAATGCGGTGAAAGTCTCGTGCCTAAAATGGGAAACTGCCTGTAGATTCTCCACAGCTGTTGTGAGTAATGTGCACAATTCAATGTCTTCGAGATAATCGTTGCTAATTGAAACTATGCTGTTGTGCAGGCGGCGCATTCCTTCGAGAAGTTTTAGTGAGACTCGAGTTTTATTAGACAAAGTTTATTTAGGGTCATTGGTTGCTGTGGTTTCCTTTATACTATACCGTTGTTTCACCTCAGAAACGGTCTTTGCGATACTTTGTCTGCGGCATCTTGAAGAGACATGCGTGCTTTCTCTATGCTTTGGGTTCTGAGACCAAAACTGTTCTAGAGACTTCCAAGGACTGTAAGAACGACACAGTACCACTGAGTCCCAATGCTAGTTTAAAGCAACCTGTAGCAACATTCGATACGAACAAAGTCTTCTCCGTATATGTGCACGATCCTTCGCAGTAAAGCACTATTTAAGCAATAGTGAAAATCAGACCTGAAAAAAGTTCAGGCCTGTACGGGACTCGAACCACTGACCTCTGCGATACTAGTGCAGCGCTCTACCAATTGAGCTAACAAGCCAACTGGGAGCAGGCCATCAAATTAATTCGACATAAACCCGTAGATGATAGTTGACATAAACCCGTAGATGACAGTTGGCTTGTTAGCTCAATTGGTAGAGCGCTGCACTAGTATCGCAGAGGTCAGTGGTTCGACTCCCGTACAGGCCTGAACTTTTTTCAGGTCTGATTTTCACTATTGCTTAAATAGTGCTTTACTGGGAAGGATCGTGCACATATACGTTTCATAACCGCAGTTCATATATATGTATTTCAAAGTCTTCTCCATAGAACAGATGCCACGAACTTGCGAACGTGTAAGAACACGTTTTATCCGTTCCATGACTTGCTGCTTTCTGACTAGAGCCCATCAAGGTTTTAAAGCTTTTCTCAGAAGGACAGAGTCTCCTGAGTCAATGAACGCTATCCTAGCCTGTCTTCAAATTCAAAGTCTTTTGATTTCCGGCTTTACAAGCTTAAGACCCCGAGTTGTTCTTTAGAAATAGTTCAACTTCTAAGCTTGAGAAAATTCGAGCCATGTGGTAAAGTTCAACATCAAAATCTCCTAGGCCATACTTACTGGACAACTCTGTTAGACCAGGGAACGAAATAAGGTGCTTTTTCAACGCCAGTGCGGTGTTTACATCACTGATAGGAATGCGGCTTCTGTGACGCTCAAATGGCGTTTCCGAATCAATTCGATAAAAGCTTACAATAGCTTTTAACAACCAGCACTGATGGCCATCGCGAAAGGTGACGATCGAATTGGGTATCAAAGATCATAGACCCGATATGTGACATCATGACCATGATGTGGATGGTCCATGCGGTGATTATTCACGAAATATGACACTCTGCTGATACTCCTACTGATATGTAATTAAAAAACCTACTTTTATTGGACAAAATATATCTGTCGTTATTTTCTATCCAGTTTTTAGGATATTTAGGGCGATCCGGTCTTTTGTAAGCTATCTGTAAAAGTCCACCACTAATGTCAGTTGTCAGTTGTCAGTTGTCAGTTAGATTTTCAGCGATTTGTCAGTTTTCAGTTAAAATTTTGGCCATTTGTCAGTCGTCAGTTAACCCCATCCAGACTCTCAATATCTGCCAATCGTGTTTTCTTTCTTTTCTTTTAGTTATTGGTTAATTACGTTTAGAATGCTTTACATATCCCTGTTTTAGTAGTTGGTTTTAAAATTTTAAACACTAAACATAGTAAAACAAATACGCGTAACTTAAAAGTAACTGAAATGCTTGAACTACTATGTCACTGTAGGTTAAGAAGGTAATGTTAAAATACCTGCCATTGTTTAGCAATTTTCTGTTACCAAGCTGTTTAATTTTAATGAAATCATGACTGAGGGCTGCAAAACAAGTGAAGAATGAAACAATCAAAATAGTTTAGAATGTCGATTTCTCATGGAGTCTCAGAATATTTTGTTTGTCCCACGCTCGTGATAAAACGAAAAACCTACTTCTCTATTTTAGAACCCATTTTTATTTTTTAAAACATTTACGCCGCCTCTTCTCGGCATTCTTGTTCTTTACCATGCGATCTATATTCCATAAAACCAACAGATGATTTTTTTTCCCATGTTCACACAGCCTAAGCTAACCACGAGCGGATTTGCGAGACGCACTGTAGGGTTTGCATCCCTCGTGCTTAGATAAGGCTATATGTAAACATGCAAAAAGTCTCCTATAGCGTAAGCATTCTTTTAAATCATGCAATTTTTTAAAATGTATTGTACAATGTATTATAACTTAAATCCAACTGGATAAAGTTCAGGTGGATCACTATCAATTAAAAAGTACAAGAATGTAAGAGTGAACTCTCAGGCACAGCCTGGCAGCTCAATTTAGGTATCTGGCTCTTACATGGAGACTCCTATAGTCAATTATTACCTTGACAACGCCATCCTCGGTGTACTGTTGCCAATTTGAGCCATCTGTGCTGAAGGCGAGAACGTACGACTCCACCCAACATTTATCTTTCTTGTGTATCTTAACACCGCTGGCTGTGGGATAACCTTGAGTGGCAACCTAAATTACGTAGAAGAACGTATCCTCTTTAAAGGTTCACTGAATTGTTATTCATCTACGAAATCCGTTACTAATCGTTACAAGAACTGTAAAAAACACACACAAACCTGAGAAACGAGCGTTAAAGCTCCAAGGTCCACCTCTAAGTACTGCTTTTTGTTATTAATTTTTGGTTTCCAAGCTCCACTGTTTTTCCCCTGTTTGGTATTATTCAGCCGCGCCTGGCTGGGGACATGGTAACGATCCAATACGGACGAGGCTCGCATGGCATCATTGGTTATTAAGCCACTACCAACGCCCAGTGCGACAGGAATAAATGCCCCCATCAAAGAAGCTAAAACAAGCACATCAATTAAGAGTGTGAAAAGACAATTAACAATACACTAACAAGAAAAGTTTTATAAATAAAAACTGCATTGCTGACCACACCAAAAACTGATGAACGTGCGTTAGTCTAGTCGAGAGTTGGATAGGGTAGAGGAAATGCAGACAAGGAAAGGATTCTTAACTGAACCTTCTAAGACATTGCAAGAAAAAAAAGAAAAAAAAAGAAATGATTCAAGAAATACATGGCCGTTGGCGGATCTTGAGAACTTTAAGATAAGATGTTTTGCATCCTTGTTTCCGTTTGGTTCCCCTTTGGTTTCTTCTCTCCTGTTTGGTATGTTTCTTCTCCTCGGCAACTTTTCCTCAAAGGTTTCCTCCTGATTATCGACAATGTTTGATGAATCAAGAAACCGACTCAAGAGCCTTTAATGGTCAACTCAACTACATCATTACCTGTATCATCCGCATCAGATATAGAAGTATTATCAGAGCCATCATTCTCACCAGCCAGTAATGGTATACTTGGAGGTGCAAGAAAGTTCATTTGCAGTTCGTTTGCTTGTTCTGTGTCTTCACCGTGCTCACTTAGTTCCTTCTTGTTGACTCTACCTTGACTTTCCTCCTCTTGAGGTTGTTCCTTTGCTTCAAGACTTGCTATACTATCAAGCTCTACTGTTTCGTTAGCTTGTTTTGTCTCTACAAGCTCCTCTGTGTTACTTATGTTGACTGAATTAATATTTTCCTTTTGCTGTTCGTGAGACTTGTCCGTGTCCGCTGTTTCTTTTTCTGTATTTAACGCACTCTGTTCAACAACTTTTGTATCAACACTTTCCGAAACTACATCACTTTCAAGTTCTATTTTTACATTCAACTGCGCACCATTGTTATCCTCTAGTAAGGTTTTCGCATTCTTTCCTTCCACCGTTTCAACATTGCATTTTATTGCTTGTTGTATAGAGTCTGTAACATCCTTTGTAGGTATAGAGTCAACCTTTGTAGGAACTTGCTGCTCAAGTTCAGGCAACATCGTATCGACTTGCTCTTCAGCCCGTGGTACATTCTCAAAATAATACCGTTCTTGGCTACTGCTCTCTAACTCGGGCACCTCAAGAGAATCTCCTTTGCTAACCTGGGGCTCCACCTCGCTTTCATCATTTCCTTTATCGATTCTATTTTGAAGACCACTCGGAATGTCTACCAAACTTGGTAACACACTCTGTCTCTCATTTGTAAGGCTTTGTGGTCGAGAGCATGGAGATGTTTCTGGCTCCTCGTACTGAGAAACAACTATTTTAGGAAGTTTAAAACGTTGCTTGGATAATTTTTCTTCCCTCCTTTTAGCCTGCTCGAGGCGTATTAGTTTTTCGTGTTCTATTCTTTCTTCTCTTTTCCTTTTAATAATTTCATCTGGGTCGATGTAGCCATCTGTTGTTAAATACAAAGGAAGAGAAGGTAATCATTATAAAAGTACACGAAACACCCAAGACTAAACTGAGGGGATTATTATAATCGAAAGGTACAATAGTAGCATCATCTTTGTTTTACAAAGTGCACTAAGTAAGAACCTTGGCAGCCTACTGACGCTACTTCCCAAGCATCACACAGTCTCGCAGAGCCCCGCGGAAGGTCTGCAAGCTGTCGTGGTTAACCCCTCGTAGACCAAGGAAAGCAAGCCAGTTCGAGATCCTCAGGCCGCGGTGCCAACGAGAGCCTTCTCGCAGGCTAGGGTCTTGGTACTATTACGCCCGCGTCTCTGTCTGCTGGAGGGATTATCAGCTGGGTGTTGAAAGTAATCATATCACTTCGCTCTGAGATTAGTTGGGAACTTCGCGCCACCTCGACCAATCACGAGGAGAAGTAAAGCTGAACCTCGTCGTGACAGAATAACTTGCCTTTCCCCGTTCCTTTGTAGCCTTTAAGTCCTCATTGGCTCTCGTGACCTTTTCTTTGGCTTTGGTTTACAAAAAAAAAAAAGAAAGAAAAAAAGTGTCTGACTAAAATAATGGTACACTGTACCTCGGCTCTTCCTGAAGTTGTTCAGTCTATTATCGTGCTCTGTTTCTAAGGACTTGCTTTCGTTTGTCCACTGATCCCACATGTCACGAATCTTTTGAATTCTCTCGATAATCCGCATATTGCGCTGACAAGAAAGTAATAAAATATCCAATAAATCAAAAACTATTTAGGGCAAAGTTCTGTGGAGGTTCGAACTGTAAGTTTTCAAGTTTGTCATTCGGAATCCATAGAAATATTTTCCAATCTTATTAACCCTTGTTCTTTCTTCGTTTAGCATTACCTCTTTTCTTTTTGCTTCGTTTTGTTTCGTTTTTTTGTTCGTTTGTTTGTTTGTTTATCTTTCTAACTTACCCGGATTTAATATCTTGTAATTTCTAAAGAGTTGAGTAACTCGGCACGATTACATTTGTTACTTTTTTGAGGAGTTAGGTAACTTTGCACGATTACATTTTGTAATTTCGTCAGGTATTTCGTTAATTGTAATTTCGTTAATTGTAATTTTGTTGGGTAACTTCGCACGACGCAAGAAGTGAGTTAAACCTTAATTCTCCTTCACCAAAAGCCTCTCACTTTTAAAAGTATTTTTATTTCAATGAGTCGAGTTGTAAACAACAAACCTCATGCTTCCTCCAATCCTCCTCCATTTTTAACCTTCGTTGTTGTCGTCGAAGAGCGGATAGCGTCCTTTCGTGGGAGCATCTTGGAACATGTGGACAGGGATCCTGTATTAAAAATGAAAAAAAAAAAAAAGAAAAGAAAAGAAAAGACACTAGTATTACAAAAATAATACTTGCATTAACTCGACACTCACAAAACGAAAAAAAAAATTGAAAGTAAATGCTGTTCGCGTGAATGATCAATTCACTGAGGACTAATAAGCACCCCATGCTTACCAAAAACATATCACTGGTGCGTCTTAACAGCTCAGCATTTCTTATGAACGTCTCATAACAGTTAGTCTTCTGCAATATAAGATAGAAAAAAATTGTCTTCTGTAATTGTCTTACTTCAGTCTTTGTTTATTTCACTGTATATAATCACTCAGTAAAAGTATTACAGAAACCAGAAGCCAAACTATCTGAAATAAATTATATAACATCTTTAAAGAAACACTGCTCAAAGTTTAAGTGCCTATTTCCAAAATGCTTCTGAAAAAAATTCTGAACCGCAAAACTCTCACATTGCTTTAACATCCTCAACCCATTATAGATCTTCAGAACATTCTAGGACTTCATTTATCTGCACAACCTTGCAAAATATTTCAAAGAAAGACCTTTTATACTGTTACTATTTCCCCACTGCTCTAGTTTTCACCTTCAGTTTGTATATGGTGGTGAAAAGTTCCTACCTTATTACTTGGTAGCCAGACTCCTAGAGGATCCAGCCACGTTGGAAGAGATGATTGATTCTGCCTCCTTGCTGGTCTTCTGAAACTTTTGCTTGGAGATAGTGATTGTACTGGAGTGCAATATGGTGCAACATCACCAAAGTAAATGCTACTTGTTCCTTCAAACAGTCCATTGCTCTCCCTTGAATATTCCTGGACATGAGTTGAAAGTAAAGAACATTATAAATCAGACTCATGAGAAGTCTACGTTTGAATGGTTATTTGGAGTGATTTCCATTTGAGATAATCTAAAGTAACTTATGAAGTGCTCCACAATTTAAGTGAATATTAAAATTTTTAAATTCAGTCTTCAGACTTTTGGAATTTATCAAATTTCATAACAAACCCAACATATCCTTAAGGTCTAACCCATGAAGTACTGTAACACTGAAAGCACTGAGAGTTCTGAAAGCTCGCTTTCTGTGTTCTTATTAATTCTTCCAATTGCTTTCAGATTTCCCTTTAATGTCATACAAGTATTTCAAGTAGACTCTTAACAAAGAAATTGTTCTATCCTCCTTCACTCCACAGTTTACATATAAAAGTCATGCCTTACAAGCACATGTACTGTTTCTTGACGAACAAAAGGCACACCTTAAAATTCTAGTATTGCAGCTGCAACTCTGAAATGGCAGTAAAAAGAGGGAATAAAATTGTCAACAATTACAAATATAGCTTTGGAAACAAAGTGTGTCATTTCCCCAAAGCTATTTGAAACCATTTTAAAGATACTAGTAATGCATGTGAAAAAAATTACGCTTGTCTGATTATTGGCTGAAAATGAGTGCATTTTACATGGAACACGAGTACAAAGTTGTAACACAAGTGCAAAGTTGTAACATGGGTGCAAAGTTGTAACATGAGTGCACACTACAAATAGCACAAAATTTTGTCTGTTTTGACTCTCTGTGATGCTTTTTTCATGTAAATCATTAACAAGTGACAACATGATTTTAAGTGCAATTTGGTGAAAATAAGCACTTGTAAATTTTTCAAATACTAAAAGTTGCACTCACCCTATTCGCTTGTGCAATTTTGTTGTTTTTGAAAAATTTACTTGTGCTTATCAACACTACATTGCACTCAAAAATATGTTATTATCTATACTTGTGTAAATCATCTAATTTTTTTAAACAAAGTGGCATTGTGAATTTTGACTTTTTTTACAAGTTATTATGATCATTTTATCTCTGTTACCTTTTAAAATTTTGGTTTGTAACCTAAGAGAATTATTTTTATCTTGCTAAGAAATAAAGACCACCACTAATACATAATAAGCTGAATTTACATGCTGATTGCTTCTTATTAATCAGCTATTGAAGGACAGACACTTTGATGACATCACCATTGAGAACTTTCTTTGTTCTTAATTTATAAACTGATCCACTCCAAGTTGTCCTCCACCTGGTCAATAAATATATCTTATTAACCAAGCGCAAGGGCCGTACTGGGAGAATATCGGCCCAAGGTCTTGACAGTATGGACCGAGCGCAGCAAGGTCCATACAAAAAAGACAGAGGGCCGATATTCTTCCAATACGGTCCTGAGCAAGCTTGGTTAATAAGAGATTTATTATACAACTGAAGTTCAAAGGGACACAAGTGTGGTATCATTTGGGACCATTCGGAACAGTGCCCGGTCCAATACTGAGAGAATATTGACCGGCAATCGAGCATTTTGATCAGTTGATTTTAGTTATTGGCCCTCTGACTGCCCAAGTCATGTAATAAAAGATCATGGCAGATGTCAAAATGAGGTACAGTGGAATCCTGATTTCTTGAACCTCCCGGGGAAACACAAATTGGTTCAACAAATTGGGAGTTTGAGAAATCGGGGGTGAAATTATAAGTGAAGTGAATCAAAGGGAAACAAGGTTTGGTTCGAGATATCAGGAGGCTTGAGAAACCGAGGGTTCGAGAAATCGGGATTCCATTGTAAAAATAGAAATGACACACTCTACTGCACCTTGTGTGCCATTTCCCTGTTTAACCACACTTTGACGTCATCTGCAATCTCTTATAGAGCAGACATAAACAACAGCACCACAAATGATCTCCTCAGAAACTAAAAACTTTACAAAATAATAATCCACTGGGATGATGAGGTTATAGAAAGAAACTCTGCAGGTAACTCTCCTTCCTCAGCCACTATAGTGTGATGGGGTAGATTAAGCTATCTGCCCATATATTCTACTTTCTTGTTCATCAAAACACAGGTTATAGCTCACCACACACTACAGTGTAATTTTCTCAGCCACAAATTTGGAAATAATACAGCATAGTCATTAAAGTGAAAGAAAGTGAATTCTAAATAAAAATACTTGAATGCCATATAATTAGTATGTTTTAATAAAACTCAAAGGGTGAAAGAAAAATTTAAATAACAAGAGCACCCAACAGACAGAATGTTCTGGATTTAAATAATAACCCTGAAGGTGGGACATACTTATCTAATTAAACTAGATTATAAGAGCTTCAAATATGACAAAAATTCATTTTACCCACACCTTAAAACCAAAAGAATTGTCGTTTAATTTTTTTTTTCACAATTTTAAAGCATTAAAATAGTTTTGGTGAGAATGTTGACAATTAATTTGTCAACTGGTTTGATTTCACGAAGTTCCAGTACTACATTGCAGATTTTAAGAAACATGCCCAATCTTATAGCTGTACAGAAAAGCGCACACAATTTGCAACATTTACCCTTTCACCAACCACAGTGGACGAGACGAACAATCAAGACTCGCATCGGCTAAATTTTAGTAAAATTTTCAATGTGATCAGTCGACGTAAAGCTTAATAGAAATTTGTTGTATATCAACAATATTGTACAAAGTTCAAAAACACTATGGTGAAAAACGTTCAAAACTTTATTTTCATTCCCTGATAAATAAAAAATTAATAAGTTTCGCTTATTTCATAATCTTATTAACAGGTTTCTGCAATGTTTGCAAGACACTTTACTACTCACCGGTCTATTGACATTTCTCCCACTCTTCGAATGTCCGTCCTTGAACTGAGCTGTCTTAGACGAAACTTCGTGTAAACTCAATCTGTAACTTTTCTTCTCTGAAGAGGCAGCACTCTCAGACTCTTTGAGTTGTAAATACGGCAAGGCCTGCATTTTAACTGAGCCTTGACCACTAATTAATCTCAAATTGAGCCAATACGAATTTGCTTACATTTTGGCAACTTGGTTGCTAATGAAGCTAGGCAAGGTTACCTAGCAGAATTGAATTCCTCCACACGCTTGGTTAATATTTACAATTTAATTACCTCTAAGGGCTTTATCCGGTCGTGAAAAAGTCAGCTGACATGCTCTGGGTCAGAAACTTGACTGATATAAGAATATCAGCCCTACCTTCTAATGAGCCGATGTATGAGGTGAAATCGAAGGGAAACTGCGCGATCCGCCTCTCAAACGTAGGAGTTGTTATGTTGTGGTTGCCGCCAGGCCGATATTCCATCTGTATTTGTTGATCAATATACAAGCTCTCAAGCGGGAAGTACAAAAGGTAAGCTTGTAGAGCGATGCTCAATTCAGCTGCTTCTGCATTGGTGGACACTGATCTAGGTAGAACAGGTGGAAGAGAAACAATCGGTCGAAACATAACTTCACAGTATGGAAATGCGAAAGACAATGCAGAAACCCTGAAGGAACAGATGGAAACTCTGAACATAAAAAACAAAGATGCGCTAATGGATCACATAGACAAAATGGCACGCCGAACATCGACTGTAGAGGAAAATGGACATGTCAAGCAGTCTCAAGATGTCGGAAATGTCTCCCAACAAAAAATACTAAGTCCAAAAACAGAGAGAGGAAGAAGACTCTTACCAGCAACTCCAAAGTCACTTTATTCGTCCCAGAGTCAATTGACTCCGTCAATTAATCATTCAGCTGAAAATGTGACATTAAACTCCAAACGACTTAGTACATCCTCATCACGAAGCAGTAATACTTCTTTATCTTCGGAAGATGACCTCGGCAGATCGAAAACCAAACAAACCCACATTGCCCTGTACAAGTTCGTAGCACGACACGACGACGAAGTTAGCTTGGAAACTGGAGATGCGGTTTATGTGAACAAGAAGGGTGAAGATCTGTGGTTCGAAGGGATTAATTTACGGACCGGCGAATCAGGAATTTTCCCATCTCGCTACGTCTCTGATATTTTACGAGAAAGCGACGTTCAAGGTAAGAGTGATATTCTGGTCAGGAAAATAGCTCGAGTCTAAACGTTCAACTCTATTTTCGTTAATTGATTGACTTCCTTTCAGCAATTATGGATTAGGAAACAGCGTAACTTGCAACAAAAAGCAAATAATTGTTGATCAGCTCCCAAAGATAAATAATGAACATAATTGTAGGTGGTAACTTCTCTATCATTCGAATTACTATCATCAATATCGGTGTTGTCGTCATTATAAACAAATAAATGGATAGCATATGAAAGAGCCAATTTCTAAAAACAGACTTTGATTACGTAAGTAAGACAAGGCACGTTTCACCAGCGATATTTGTTCAAAGATTACACTTTTGTTGTTGACTCAATGCAAAGTAAACAAATTTACCATAACTCAAATTTGTAAAAGACCAAACTCTCAAAGTATTCACAGCTGATTTTTTTTTAATTCAGAGACTTCGTCGACCAATTATAGTTAACGATTATTCATTTTCACCGACTCCAAGGTGAATAATTGTTTTAAAATATTTCACACAAGAACCAAAAGATATTATATCTCTGCCAATATACGGAAAACGATCTCAAATTGAATTCTTGAGGCACTTTTTTCTCTGACTTCTTGGAGATTTGAAGCACTTGCTAATCACTAATAACTTGTGAGCTACCTGATCAGGGTAGATCAGGGTCACCATTCGTCTGTATGGTATATTCTATACGTATGATGCACGATCCTCGCAGTAGAGAGCGCTATTTATGCAATAGCGAAAATCAAACCTGAAAAAAATCAGGCCAGTACGGCCCCTGCGATACTAGTGCAGCTCTCTACCGCTCTATCGCAGAGGTCAGTGGTTCGAATCCCGTACAGGCCTGATTTTTTTCAGGTCTGATTTTCGCTGTTGCATAAATAGCGCTCTCTACTGCGAGGATCGTGCATCATACGTATCTGCAACCGCAGTTCAAAATATATGAACTTCATATATTCACTGTATCTGGTATATTCTATATTTGGTCTAATAAAGAAAACTTTTGAATACGTTTTCAATTTTACACTCAGTCCATATTTACCGTCAGTAGTGTGCATCTATGCTACGCGATTTGTTATGAGTATTAGCGTACCCTTAATTTTGCCGTTACTATGATCAAGATTAGATCATAGTAACGGCAAAATGATCAGACTACACCTTCACAGTAGAAATATAAGTTGGAAAAATTCATGAAAAAGGTTCAAAATAACGATTTAATTGAAATTTTAACCATTACAGTTCCTTTGTACAATATAACCCCCTATACAAATAATGGGCATTTACTTTTTAAATAAAGCAGTCAGCAAGAGATATTTTTTCCCGTTTTAGACAATTCCAAAAGAGGTACACAAGTTAACCAGTTCAGTGTAAGGTATGTATAATGTAACATTTGGTTTGGGTGTAAAATGGAATGAAAAACATCTTTTAGTTTTACATATAGCTAGTGTAGTATCTGTATACTTACATTGTAGGTTGTGAAATGATTGCAAATTTAATTTATAATTAGTGAGCACGATCAAGTAAATTTTTCCAAGGCTAAAAATAATTGTCTGAGGCTTAAAAAAAAATTAGCAAGAGCACTTTGTGATCTTTTAAAGTTGATAAGTGCTTTTGTGATATTCAAAAATACCTCTTGAGGTATTATTACTTGTCAATAATGTACACACTGTATCTCTGTATGAGATTAATTGACCAGATTGATGTCCTCTCCGTCAAAGAGCATTTGGACACTCAGTAGTGTTTCATGAAAAATGACTATTTTATTCTAAGTCATTTCATTTAGAATAGATTAGAAACTAGGCTAGATTTCTGCTGTTCTCTTGGGTCTGGTCTTTCTCATTCTCCAAGGAGGAGTTTGGGCTCCAGTTCCCGAACAGAAGCTGGTAATCGAGCCTAATTAGAAACCTGAGAACTGAAAAATTATTTATTTGTGGTGATCATTTCCTTTTGGGCCACATGGGCCACTTTTGGGTTTTTACTGAATTTGAATTGACCTTCCATTGAGCTGAACTTGAATATTTAATAAGCTGAAACTGAATTGTCCTTGAAGTGAAATCAAATTTCATGGTTATGAAATTTGATATTTTTAGTAGAATTGAAATTGAATTTAGCACTGAATGTTATGATAATAGGCTATCACATGCCACCCATTGTTAGCTGTTTGATAATTAATATTATTAAAAACTAGATCATTGGATAATGCAATTCAAGACTTTTTATTGGCTTAGCCATTATGGTATATCAGCCAATATACCATAATCTACAAATATGGCAAGCGTACGTGTCAGATTAAAATTAAAAGGGAGCTAAAAATTGAATAAAATTTAATTTAATTTAACGTTTTTAATAAAACAATTATTCCACTCGCTCTTGTTGGATATGAGATGATTATAGCCAACTCGGCGCTACGCGCCTCGTTGGCTATCTATCATCTCATATCCAATGCGCGCTCGTGGAATAATTGTTAAATAATTACTGAATAAGAAGTATAGCAAATACAGATACAGTTATCAAGTCTGTTATGTGTATGAACCTCAGTAGTAATCAGTATTTCTCTCAGAACCTCTCAAGAGCTTTGACCCAAGATTTTATTTTTAGGGGTTTTGTTACACTATCGATGTATACAATACACTTTTCTAATTTAATTTTAATTTGCATCTCATGTGTATTTGTGAGCTCTTGGCCTTTTTGTGATGTAAAAGAAACATTGCTGACATGAAAAAAAAAAAAAAACAGTTAATGTTATTTTCTCACAATTGTTTCTTAATTGCAAATTATACCATAAGAGATTAAGCTTATGATTGTAACACGTCTATTCAATGTTTTTGAACAACCAATTTAAACTTCCTTTTTACTCTTTAGATTTCTTGGATCAGTTGAAGTAAGTGGCTTCAAGGGAAATGATATCATATGTGATGCTATGAGAGAGGTATGAGTTCAGTTTTTCGCCAGTGTTAATTGAAGTCTCTTATTATGGTTTGTTTTCTTTTTTCATTTCAAAGGATTGATCTCTTAATTTTAAAATCCTTTAAAATATCATATTGTAGTGATGCCTTATTACAGCAAGTGAGAGATGAATACCAGTGCTTTTGCCCAAAAGATCCATCCTTATACCAAACCACTAAGTTTTTTCCTTTTATTCCCTCCCCTGAAAAGAACTGCTAAGTAGTTTTGAAGACAACCAGCTACTTTCAATGCTTGCACACATTGCATTTGAAAATGTAAATTTTGCAATTTAACAGGCCTCTGTACTTGTGAAGTTGGGATTCAACATGACGGGTGTGCAGAGTCCTACACAAAGAAACCTCTTTATATTATAATAATTAAAATGTTATCATTTTTTAACACACTTTAGATTGTAAAACAGCATCAACTGACATCAGTTACCAAACCCCCAGCCTGTATACTGGATGTTAGTGAGAGAGGAATCAGAATCACTGAACATCCTCAAGGTCCTTTAGGAGGGAAGGTAAAGCTGCATTCATTGTGTAGTTACAGTGTAGATGTGACATTACATACAGTGTTCTCTCTTATGTTAAGCACAACATAATTTTCAAGAATTCTGAGTGATTCTAGCTAGTTATAAAAGGTAATATAGGTGGTAAATTTTATCAGTTACTGCATGAAAAGGTGAACACTGTACAGATGAACTTCGTGTTACATTAAATGCTGGCAATGACTTGTTGTTTGGTGCACCTTTCATTTCCAAGTAAGGGTGCATGCAGTAACCTCCAACAGCTATCTTTCATTAAGGGGAAGGCAATATGGTCTACATGTAACTGTTTTATATGTTAAAATCTGAATATAAAGTTATGGGTTTAAGTCTCAGATGTCTCATCTGTGCTTGAAAAAGCTCTGATAGTTTGGATCCCTTTGCTTGTTTGCTGACTTTGCAGCAAATCCAGGGGGAGAGTCAGGGAATGGGGTTTTAAATCCCCTACAACAGACCCTTGGGGTGTTGATGAGGGGGTATGCAACTCAGTGGTGATATTTTTTTATTGCTATCATTGCAGGAATCTAAATTCTTTAAGAAATCAAGCAGACGTAAATTAGGGAAACTCTTTGACAGGGATGGAAAGGTTTGCAATTATTTTCATAGACCATGTCAGGTTTTTTGTTAATTTCAGTTATAACAAATATTTTTAGGGGTCCCTAAGATAAGCAAAGACTGGAAAACAAAATGAGTAAGATGGAAACAAGGAAGCAGGCAATAAAGCCCCTTTTACAGTCTGCTAAGCCAAAAAGGTGAACATAAAATGTTGGAAAATGTTGAGGCATTTGCCAGTTGGATGCCTTATTTCGGTCTTTTATTACTCTAAGACAGTGGATGTTAAGTGTGGTTGTCATAATGCATATATACTGTAGACTGTCCTTAACTTTTGCTGCTTTTAACACATTTGACACCCCTCTCCCAGATGAAAAAAAAAAAAAAAAGGTTAAAATCAATAACCCAGTAGTGTTTGTTTGTTTCATTGCAGGAAACTTTAACCCAATCTCACTATTTTGCATTGAAGAATGTAACATTTTGTGGTTGTCATCCACAAAATGCCAGGTACGTTAGAATAGTATTTTTGGCTTTTAAATTCGATCACAGATCTCTCTTAACCGAACTTCAATGATGTTCACATTCTTACGTCTAGTTTCACTTTTCTCCAGATTCTTCGCCTTTATCACGAAACATCCAGAGGATCACCGATTCGCGTGTCATGTGTTTATGTCGGAATTCTCGACAGAGCCAGTAGCAAACGCTGTAGGGTAGGTAGTTCCTCCATGTTTTCTAACTTTTTTTGAATTATTTTTCTGTTTGTGTTTGACCAACTACACCAAAGAAACTAAATCCTTTCTGGAGGTCCTATTTCAGAGTCAATGCCATTAGTATTTCTGGACTTGAGATCGTATTATAATTACTAGAGTTAATCTCTCGAGTCGATTGCATCTTTTTATGAAAGGATGAAGACAAAAGGAGTAAGGTTTTTTTTTCGCGTGAGCAGAATTAGCACTACGGGGTGGGCTATCTGTAAGGTTTTCCTCTAATTTACGAAATCGGGAGAAATCTTAAAGCAAACCAAGACCGATTACCACAAAAATAACTCATGATATGGATTATTCGGTTTCGCGGCTTGGTTGTTTTTGGGTCTTCACTCAAGTTGTCCTAACTGTGGTGACCTCTGTGTAGCGGTTCAACGATCACTGGTAAGAGTTCAGTTTCATGATGGTCATGATAATCAGTTGCCTAATGACAGCGGACTTTGTAATGTACTGCGTTTGTTTATGTATTTATCCTGTTTTGGCTGGATACAGCTACATCAGTTGGCTTGAAAGAGCAGCCTTAGATACTTTTCTATCGGCTAAACCAACTGATCGAGTTTTTCTCTGCTCTTGTGATTGCAGGCTGGCCTTCAAGAAGTTTTATGCCGAATTTCTCGATTATCAAGCTCCTATAGAAGATTTCTATATTGAATGACGACGAAATTTGTCCCATTTTGTAGTTTACCATACCCCAAAACTATAATAATCCATAGTAATTTTAAAATATTCTTCTAGATAATTTGATTTTTGAAAAATCAACAAGGAATTATTTAATAGATAGGTTGATCCTAAATTTGGTGATGAGAAAGGTATTATCCCTTTCGACGGTGTTGCGAGCGGAAACAATCTGTGTAAATATTCATTCATTTCTAAATGGTAATATTCATAATATCGCAATTTTGAAGAAAAATAGTGTAAACTACAGATTAATAGCCATGATTAAAATCCTTGAAATTTGGTGCAGTGCACTCCTGATACTGAACTCACATTCCATGTTAGCATCCCAAACGTATTTCGTTCCCGGTTCTATGGCAAAAATTTCTCTCTTTTAGTTCGGAGCTGAAAACGTTTGTCAAACCCTTTCCTACTAATGATTAGATACTAGTGGAAAACAGCCCACTGAGTTTAGTTGGAAACTAAGTTTCAAAATATAGCATCAGGGAATGTTGTCTTTTGTGAAAGAGTGTTATTCATATCGGGTCTGCACAGGGCGCAAATATTCTTAAAGAGTGTCGATGAAGTGCCTCTTCATTTATAAAAGCATATTAGGTGAATTTTGTAACCTATTGAACGGCAAGCTAGATGTTAGTAAGCTTTAGAAGCAAAACTAATTTTTAGTACTTAGATGATATAGAGTTAAAAGTATAGTATTAATATATATAGATTAAGTCTAGTAAAAAGTTTGTGTTGAAACATACTAAACTGTACCATTACAGTCAGTAACGTCATTCTATTTGACCAAAAAAAACCCTTGATAATTCATATTCAGACGAAGTATGTGCCTTAAAATTCGACTGAAATCTTTACGAGGTTAGATAAAGATAAACTTAATTAACAGACTGGACCACCACTTGGACTAAGAAGTCGGAGAATAGATCATTAATATTGTGCCCTACTCCGTGCAGAAGGGACCCTTAAACTTGGCGCCGAGTCAAATCCATGATCGCACTATCTTGAGTCAGGAAATCTAAACAAACACAGAAGAAAACACCCTTAATTTGGCAATCTTTCAAAGTCTCCATTAGCCGGATGTTGTTAAAATAAGCATTTGAAATGAATTTTAGACATCATATTTATTGCAAACGCATTCTTATAAGCGTCTGTGAATGTGAACATTTCAAACCATCGTTTCTATAGAATTAGAGTTATATTGCATTAAATTCCCAATACTCTCTACTTGAACTATGTGCTCCGTCGTAGTGGGAATTATCTTGTGATAGGTAACTTTTGGTTTACCAAATTAAAGAAAGCATAAGTTACTATTTGGGGGTTACGTGGCCTCCATTTTGCAAGGTGGATGGTAATTAAGGAGAATGAAGGGAATCCACGTGACTCTATGTGACCCACACTCACAGATGTTTTGTATCAAAAGAAGCACGGATACAATTGTTCAACACGGTACAAATTGATTTGAAAAAGTAGAGAATGCACTAAATTAAGAAAAAAGAAAAACTGTTGTATTCCTTTTATGACAAGTGCCTTGTTTGGCCGGCGCCTGTTTCTGTTACAATTTATTTGTGAAACCGTGTGAGGGATGCGAAGTTGTCGACTGTTTAACAAACTCAAAGAGATGTGATATCTAAAAGTTACAAAAATCACATTTTGATGGTTGAGTTTGAACACCAATCAGTTGAACGTCATATTTTATTACTTGTAATCCTTAACTTATCTTTTTGTGTTTAGCATCCAACTTTGCTTCCCCCACATTTCCATTTTTAAAGTATCGATCTACATTAGGTGGTGAGGCAAGGCACAATGACAACAAATCTTTCTTTCATATTGTTTTTAATTTGCCAAACTTTTGATAAACTTTCTAATTTCAGGAAGAAGAAGAAAGCAATTTTTTAGAAAACCTGGCCTGTCCTTTTCAGATCATCACCAGACGTTAATAAAATTATCAAGTTCAAGTGGAAAAGGTCCTCATGCATGTGCCTTCTGATTTAACAAACGACCATTATTTCACACGCGCGTCTGTTTTCCTAGTTTTCTGTTTAAATTCTATCAACGATAACAAATTTCACCTCTTAGAGTTCATTTCAGTTTTCACCTCGTGATGGGGCATTTCTCACACTTCGCTGTGTTAGCGCAACATTTGAGAAGAAAAATATTGCATTTTAAGAAAATAATTGTTTGCCACAATGCGATACCTCAGATCTTATCTCTGAAATACTGTGAAATGTTTAAAAAACACGATGTACATATAGTAACGTAACGAGTGGACTCGTTGCGGTACGAAATCTATCCCTAGAATTCTTTTCTTTTAGTTTACCACTGGACAAGATAAAACTGAGGGAAACTAGCGGGGACTCTAACTTGGTATTAAAGGATGTTACTAGGCAAAACATATAAAGAATATTGGGTTTTGCGGAAGAGAGTCATTATTTAACAATTAGATTATGAGCTAAAGATTTGCCTCGCTTGATAGTAGATAAGAGCGAAGCCCGAATTAACCATCACGCAAAGAAATTGAGTGCGAATAACCTGATTGCGCCAGTGAAAATCTACCGGTCGTTTAAAATTTATCAGGAGTGGCTTGTCCACTTATTTCAATGGTCTACAAATCCGCACTTTTCATTCATTTATTTTACTAATTGTCCGAGTATCACGGAACAGACAGCAAGTGACGTGGCCAATCAGATCGGATGTGCATCTAGCCCAGATATTTTTTAAAATAGGTGACGGTGATACCTTGCTTATATTCGTATGTTACAAGCATTTCTTAGCCTATCAGATATTTTAATAGGGAGGCCCGCACTTGAGAAGCAACACTTAAACATGGTGCTTGGCTAAAATTGTTAAAATTGCATGCAAAATTATCAAGACCTTGCCGCTACTGTCAAGCTCATGATCGTGCGGAAAAGTGCTTGATAATTCAAACAGTGACGTAGTGTGCGCTTCGATAAATTTTCAATTAACCAATATGAGGACGAGCAAAAATTGATCCACGTGACACTACTTCAAAGCCTCAAGAACGAGAAACCCCGAAAGTATGTCGTGCTAATGCTATATTTTGACAAAAACCCCCTTTCCAAAATGGTCGCAGATCATCAAAACTATAAGCACTAATTTTATCAATCTGAAAAAATTGCAGTCAGCTAGTACAGCTTTTGTTTCTGCAAAGAATATGATTTGTCATATCAAAGGAAATCGATAAAAGAATTTGAATGCTGTCTGCCATACTTATGTTATAAGCTCAGTCACACGTCAGTAAAGAAGAACGATTTTAGCCTTAGTGCTATTTTCCGATGATATTTCGAGTAGTAATTACTTCTTTAAACACAACCGTCCTCGTTTTTACTGGAAATTAAACGTCGAGAACAATCCAATATTTCATGCGTTTTGTTTATTTCGCTCGACAATCGTACTGGAAAGCTCGTACCACTCTCTCAACCAATCAAATGTAAAAACGAAAACCAAGTGCGTCTCGGTCTCTTGCATTTTCCCGCGCTTAAGGCAGTTTGCTCATTTTTACTTTGAATTCTCATTGGTTCGTTGTGATATTTTCCTTTGTTCTGATTGGTCTTTATAATTTCTTTGTTGTGGTTTTACATCATTCAGTGGGAAAGCGCTGAAATGGGTCATCTTTCCAAATGGTGAATCTGAAATCGCGGTCGTCATGGAGAAGGATTTTGGTAAACATTGCCAAGACAAAATGAAATCTGTTTCGCTCGTGTGCGAAAACGTATCAAAAGTAGGGCCGTTGCAACCACATTTATGATAAATGCATGAATTTGGAATCACTGGCAAAGAAACCACTAATTACGAATCGTTCCTTTACGATAGCGCTTGTTACGCTTGTTGGACCGCTTTCATCTTCAAAGAAAGAATATCTACTCATACATTATTTTAAATCGTTTACGGATACTATGGACTCTGCTAAGATTGACAGGGAGATTTACGGATACTATGGACTCTGCTAAGATTGCAGGGAGATTTATTGTGCTACCTAAAGGCCTGTGAAAAATTTGAGGAGGGAAACTTGGCTTTATGCGCAATGATCCTCCAACGCCTTTCCTAAGGTCAGAAATGAAAGTTCTGGTATTCAAGAGATTTCATTTTGTTTTCCCTGGTTTATTTTTGGTTTCTTTGTTTTTGCTTTGTTAGGATTAACCATCAATCAAAACAAATCACCTGTTCATGGAATTTATACCAAACTTCTTTGCTGTTAGACTTTGTTTTAATTAAATTACAACATAAAATTACATTTAGTAGATCGTGATTTAAAAAACGATCTTGCCCTGGGACATTTCCCACGATATCTCGTAGCTTGCAATTAATTAACTAACATTTCAAACCAAGATCGCGTGCTTTCGCCCTCGTAAATACCATATCTATAATTCCAGCATTCAATGGTCTACAATAATAGTAATAAATAAGTTGATTAATCCACACAGAATGGGGGAGGATTCTGAGGAAATCAGCTTATCCTCATCATACATAGGACAACGTTGTTAAAATCATAGAGTTCATTTGGAATAGTTTCGCCATGTTTCGTCTGGTTTGGCAATATTTAATGTCTTTATTCGCCGACGGCCGTTTTTTGGTATGTAGTGCAAAATTAGCATCAACGCGTCTCATAAGCTGAAATATTTTTTACGTGAATTAGGCTTAATTTTGTACTAACACCCGTAAAGACAATATTTAGAACGTCTTGACCTGCAATGAGTCTTTTGTTTTGATAGTATAGAAGGACGGATTCGATGATTAAGTGCGTTACTAGTACTTGTTCGCGTGCACCCTTACCGCTCCCCCCACTCTACCCCTCCCGCACCCAAATATTATTACCCTCAGTGCTACAGACTGCAGTCTGGAGCTCTTTTCTGAAAAAGGAAAGCGATGAATCAAATACGTGGTAATTGATAAATTCGTTTTAAATACTGGTCTTTTTGCTCAAGCTTTTTACAAAAAAATATAAAATCTGGACTGTTTTGTTCACTTCTGTAATGCAATCAGTAATGAGTTGGTTGAAACTTTAATCGCTTTATAAACTACGAAAATAATAAGATTTTGGAAGTGTGAAATGTATTCCTGGTTATCAGTCATCGCTTTGAGAGGCACAAAAAGAGCACGAAATCTCAACTCGAAAAAACAAATGATAATAACTAGAATAAAAAAGGAAATCAGACAGGATAAAGATAATATGAATGCTTTCTATTTATGCCGGGCAAGTTGAACGGGTTGAGTTCTTAAGTAAACAGATATCTTCTATTCCCAGGAACAGATATCGTTTATTCCGAGGATGGTGAGGTTCATCTTACCCGGAAGGCTTTTACATTCATGCTGACATCTAGTTTCCTTTTGTTGTGAAAGTGTCATCAGGATCCAAGAAATCTTCCAGAACAAAGTTAACGCCAAATTTCATGAAAGCTCCCTTCAAAAAGGTCGTTGTCACAAAATAGGGGGTATTTCTTAGGTCATCGGGCTGTAGGTGCTACAGGAAACTACTGTTAAATGTTAAAAGGCTGATAGTTTCTAAAGAAACTGTTTGGGGCTGCGTCGGTGGGGGTAACGCTCGAAACGTCAGCTTTTATAATCGTAACGGTGGCCAATTTACCATTTCAACTTTGTTGATATATTCAAATTATACTGTTAAATGTTGTCATTCCGAAGTATGGATTATGGCACCCGATCAGAGATGAAGGTGTTATTGTGCTTATCTAACAGCAATTCCTTTCTTTATCTAGCATTAATGATTGTGTAGTATCAAAAGATAAAATGTTAGTTTTGGATAGAACACTACGTAATAAAGCCTTGTTAAATCTTTCACGGGGAACTGAGTTCAGCTTTTTAAACTAAACATCGAAGTTTCGCAATAATTATGCCCTCAGAGAAAATAACTTTGATATTCTGCGTTCCGCAAGGTTCAATAAACCAATATTTGTTACTCACTTGACGACTCATGCGATCTCTAGCCTCAAATAACTAACATTACTTGACAGCCGGATTAACAATCCATGTTCATACGGACGAAGTATAACTAACGGGAGTGTTTGAAATGTTAAAATATGGCTTTTTTGATGAATTATCGCAGGTTTGCTGTTTTAAGGATACGTTGTTGTTTGTCTTTCGCCGGTCATTAACCATATGAATGTTCAAACACCTGTGAAGCATCGCCGCGCATGTTTTACGCCAATTTTGTCGTATCACAGTACCTCCAAAAATAAACGGGTCCACTAAACTGTTGAAATACACCAAAGCGTTCGCAAACACCAGTACATCTCCGAAATGACTCCAGTGAGCTCCATTTCCGAAGTCAGCCCATAACCACATAACGTGATAGGGTAACAAACACAAGGAGAACACAATAGCACCCAACAAAAATGTTTTCACAATAATGACATTCGCCCTTGTTCGCTGCCTCACCAGCTTTCGGAACGACTGATTTCCAGCTCCTTGTTTAATGCTGAATCGTTTCATCTTTTTCCCGTCAGAATACAATCTGAATCCAATGCAAATATATGCCGGAGCTATAATACACAGAGGCAGAGAGTAAAAGAGTAAAAAAACACACATGGTGAACATTTTCCGATAGTTCTCATTCTGCCACGTTTCGGTGCACTGTAGCTGCTCGTGTTTATGTTCAAGAACAAGGATGTAAGGTGACATAGGAACGCCAGATATGCACCAAACAGCGAATATCACAACCTTAACTATTCTTTTTGTTATCATTGGCTTGAAAGGTGTCACAATGGCTCGGTATCGCTCGATGGCCATACATGTCAATGTTGCAACTGATACTCCTATCAAAGCCGTCTGAAATGGGTACACAACTTTGCACATGAAAGCTCCAAATGGCCAATACTGCTTTAAAATTTCGGCCATATCTAACGGAATCCCAACCGCACAGGTCATGAGATCGGTAAAAGCCAGATTCAACACGAAGTATTCGCTAGGACTTCGTTGCTTCTTTCTCAGCAGTGCACCATACAACAGCAAATTTGCAACAGTCCCGAAGATTGTTATGAGAGCATAGGATGTCACTTGCACAATTGTTACTGTCCCTATATCTAAAGCTCCTGTTAAATTTGACTGCGTCTGGTTTGAGCTCATAGTTTCTGTTTTATCGACGTTAGTTTTTGCAATGAGAATCAATCTCCTGGTTTGTCTACAGTCTGCGCGATGGCAATTAGTTCTTCAAAGGCCACGAAATTTAAGCTAGCGTAAATAATTACCGTATAGTTGGACTCTCGCGACTCTAGAACCAAAGTTCAGTTGTGCTGAACTGCATAAGACCTCCGTTGAAATGCTTGCTTATCCTGCGATAATATTACCTGAACGTATCTCACATTCAAATTGCTCAATTTAGGTGCTGATGTTGTTAATTAACTCACCAACTGTGACATAGAATGGGCTATCAATGCACTCCCCATTAAGAGATTTTTAAGTATTTTCCCCCCGCCGTTTATGCCCTGACGTGACGTAAATTGAACTCCTTCCAAACCTGTAGCCTAATTAGGCGCTCTGACGAAGGAAAGGATTAGAAATGAGTGGGTGTGGTTTCGCATGACAGTTACAATGATCATTCCATGAGCAAACGCTTTTTACTTTGTATGAGGTTATGTGAGCGCAAAGCAAGGCGCGTGAAAAGATCACTTTCTACTTTTAATATTGTAATGGTTATTCAATTTCATTTTAAAGCGCCCTTAATGATGAATATTGGTCCATGCAGTCGGTGACACGCGTGAGAAAATGTATAGCGTGAGTGGTTAACCGCAAGATTGAGCGAAGACAAATGGTGGAGTGATGAGGAGGAAGACGGGTAAAGGAGGAAAGACTCTCTCATTCCATTTTTCACCCACTCGTCTTCAGACTATATCTTCCTTCACCAAGCCATGATCAAAGAAACTCAGCTCCACCAGCTTAGTGATATCGCTTCAACAACATAGTAGAAAAGAAGTTCATTTTAAAGGCGTTTACCTCAACTCAATCACCTTTTATCACATAATTATCGCCGAACGGTGCAAAAAATTAACGACGGTAAAAATAATGTCTGACAATCGTATCTGGCAATAAAGTGACAGTTGTCTCTGGCAATAAAGTAGTCTTTGGAAAAAGTGACTAAATAAATGCTGGAAAAGAAAAATATTATTTTCACAACATTGCATTTTAAAGAGTACAATGTTAACGTACAATATTGACCTTTCGACAAGACGACGAAAACAAGTATAGTGATGAAATATTGTTAAGCTATCCGATTAAAAATACCGTGCAGTTTGACTATGACAAGGGAACGTCCCTGACTTTATAGTTTGATTGCTTGCACCACACATGATATGTATGGTCTCACTGTAAAATCGTGATTCAAAACCTCCCCTCCCGCGAATATGGACTCCACGAAGGCAGATTGACAGTAATCAAGTTAAAATCATTCGGTATCGTAAAAATAAAAAAGATTGGTCCTCGTTGCACTCTGAGTTTCAGATTTCCTCCAGATAATTTTCAAACTCATCAAAAGTGTTTTCATCGTCGTCATTCCACTTTGCAGTTTCTGAGTTATGAACTCCAGAACCCACTTCATCATCATCATCATCATCATCATTCCACTCTGTATCTTCACTTTGCGCGAGATAATCTGAAATTCAACAACATTTCGAAAATCTTTGGTATCTGGATTCAAAACTTCCGTTTCTGGAAAGTCAACTCTAGAACCGAGATCACCTTCGATATCTATCATCATTTTGAAGAAAAAAATCGTCAATACCATCTAGGTTAGGATTAGAATCTACAATCTCAGTGGGCTCACCTTCAGTTAAAGAGACATCAGAATTTTTGTTATTCTGATTACAATGTTCAGTTTCATAAGGGTCATCCTCAGTGCCGAGAGAGAGTAGTCTTCTTCATTCTGATCCCAATCTCTGTCATCGGGCTCACCTTGGATATGCAAAGAGTGATCAGCAACATCTCCATTTTGATTCGAATCATTAGTACCTTGGAGTTCATCCTCTGTGAAGGAGCCTACCTTCAAAATCGAAAGAGTCCTGAATATCATTGTCCTTCTGATTTTTCTGAAAGTCGTCAGTGTCATCATTATTCCAATGTGAATCTTCATGATAAGTTTCAAGGGTCTTATCTTCAGCACTTAGGGAATCATTAGTATCATCATTATTCTGATATAGATATCGAGTTTCTAGAAGTTTACCATCAGAATCGAGAGAGTCCTGCGAAGTATCGTCCTTCAGGATCCGAATCTTTATTTTAATCGCCCTTGTATTCAGTACCAAAGTAGTGATCAAGATCCTCATAATTTTCATCTAACTCCTCAGTTTCATCGAGTTCACCTTCAGCACCAAGGAGGTCATTAGTATCAACGTCATTGTCATATTAATCATCGGTTTTTGATGCTTACCACTATCGATGAAATCATCAGGATCACCGTCACTCCACTCGGTATCTTCATCGGTATCCGGCTCACCTTTAAGCACAAAGGTAGTCGTTAGCATCTCCTTAATTCCGCTGCGAATCTCCATGACAAGTTTCAAGGAGCTTACGTTCACTATCGATAGAGTCATCATCTTGATGGTCTCTGCAGTCGGCGTCTTCACCGTCATCGAACTCACCTATAGCGCGAGGGAAACGTTAGTATCATCCTTACTCTGGGTTATTCATCACTATAAGTTTCATGAAATTATCTGGGGCTTACTTTTAGTACTAAGGAATTCATTAATACCATTGTCATGTTTTTCCTCAGTTAATGGCGCGTACCTTCACTATCAATAGAATCATAGTCACCGTCACTCCATTCGACATCTTATCGTCATCCAGCTCACCTTGAGCAAAAAGAGAGTGGTTATTTTTTATCTTATTTCGAATGTTAACCATCACAATAAGTGTTTGTGAACTAGCCTGGGGGCGTACCTTCAGCATTAAGGGAGTCATTAGTATCATCCTTTTTCGGATATAAATCTTGAGTTTTAAGAAGCTTACCATTAGAATCGAGAGAGTTATGAGTAATATTGTCCTTCTCATCCGAGTCTTTTTGTTCACCGAGCTCGTCTTCAATAGTAAGGTAGCCATTACGATCGTCAAAATTGTGTTTTCCTTCACTATAGCAAGGAGGTCATTAGCATTAACATCATTCTCATATGAATTCTCAGTTTCATGGGGCTCACCTTCACTATCAATAGAATCATCATCAACGTCACTCCACTCGACATCTTCATCGGCATCCGACTCGCCTTCTGCACAAAGAGGGTCGTTAGTGTTTTAAGTTCCGTGAGTTTACCAAGGGCCTACTTCAGTACAAAGGGAGTCATTATTATTCTGATGTAAATCTAGAGTTTGAAGAGTCTAACCATCTAAGTCGAGAGGGTCCTGGGTATTATCGCCCTTATGATCCGAATTGTTATTTTCATCGAGCTCGCCATCAATACCAAAGAAGTCGTCATCATTTTCACCTTAGCCGAGTTCACCTTTAAGGCATCTATTAAGAGATCATTAGTATCAACGTCTTTCTTATATGAATTATAGTTTCATAAAGCTTACCTTCACTATCGATGAAGTCACCATGATCACCGTCACTCCATTCGGCATCTCCATAGCCACTTGGCTCATTTTTAGCACAAAGATGCTAGTTAGTATCTCGGCTTAATTCTGAAAATGAATCCCCATGATAAGTTTTAGGGAGCTTACCTTAGCTGTCGATAGTGTCCTCATCTTCACCGTTTCTCCACTCGACATCTTCATCGCCATTCGACTCACCTTAAGCAAAAAGGTAGTCATTAGTATTATCGTAATTCCGCTGCGAATCTTCATGATAAATTTCAAGGTACTTACCTTCACAATCGATAGAGTTGTAATCATTACTGGTATCTTCATCGTCAACGAGCTCACATTTAGCACATAGAGAAACGTCAGTATCATCCTTATTCTGGGTTATTTACCATTACATGATTGGTGAAATTACTTGAGGCTTACTTTTACTTCTAAGGAATTCATTAATATCAAGGACATTGAAACCATTTTTCCTTAGTTTTACGGGGCGTACCTTCACTATCACCGAATGGGATCATCATCACCGTCACTCCACTCGACATCTTTATCGTCATCCACCTCACCTTTCGCACAAAGACGGTCGTTAATATTATCTTATTTCTGGTGTTAATCACCATTTTAAATTTCGTAAACTCATTTTCTCAGTGCTAAAGGAGTCATAAGTATTATTACTATTGTGATCTAACACTATTCTTTGAAGAGGCTTACAATCAGAATCGAGAGCCCTGAGTAATATCGTCATTTGATCCGAATATTCATTTTCATCGACCTCGTCTTCAGTACTAAAGTAGATATCAAGATCATCATCATTCTCACTCGAGTTTTGAGTATTATCGAGTTCACCTTCATTACCAAGGAGGTTATGAGCATCAACGTCATTGTCAAATAAATCCTCTGTTTTATGAACTTACCTTCACTATCGATGGAGTTATCAGTATCACCGTCACTCCACTTGACATCTTCATCGTTATCCAGCTCACCTTTAAGCACAAAGATAGTCGTTAGTGTCATCTTAATTCCGATGCCAATCTCCATGATACATTTGAAGGAGCTAACCTTTACTTTCGATGGAGTTATCGTCTTTATAGTCTCTCTCGAACTCAGCTATAGCACAAAGATAAATGTCTTAATATTTATCGAGTATACTCTCAATAGCAAAGAGGTCATTAGAATTAACTTCATTCCCCTATGAACCCTCTGCTTCAAGGGCTTACCTTCACTATCAGTAAAGTTATTACCCCCGTCACTCCAGTCGGCATCTTCATCGTCATCGTTTTTTTTACAAAATGAGTCATTAGCATCATCTAATTCTACTGTAAATCTCCATGATAAGTTTGTCGAACTTACCTGGGGCCTACTTTAGTTTTATGAGGCTTACCTTCACTATCGATGAAGTCATCATTCCTCCGCTAGGCATCTTCATCGTCAACCGGCTCACCTTTGGCACAAAAGGAGTCCTTAGCATCACTCAGTCCCACTGTGAATCTCACCTTTGGCACAAAAGGAGTCCTTAGCATCACTCAGTCCCACTGTGAATCTCACCTTTGGCACAAAAGGAGTCCTTAGCATCACTCAGTCCCACTGTGAATCTCACCTTTGGCACAAAAGGAGTCCTTAGCATCACTCAGTCCCACTGTGAATCTCACCTTTGGCACAAAAGGAGTCCTTAGCATCACTCAGTCCCACTGTGAATCTCACCTTTGGCACAAAAGGAGTCCTTAGCATCACTCAGTCCCACTGTGAATCTCACCTTTGGCACAAAAGGAGTCCTTAGCATCACTCAGTCCCACCGTGAGTCTCACCTTTGACACAAAAGGAGTCCTTAGCATCACTCAGTCCCACTGTGAATCTCCATGATAAGTTTAATATGGCTTACTGTCACTCCAGTCGGCTTCTTTAACATCATTGGCTTTATCTCAATAATTATAAAGATAAATTTGATGACGATGAAGAAGCAGTTTGCTAAAATCATCCCTAATTAGGTGTGAATCATTTTTGGGGGAACTAGTTTTACTAAAGAAGTCATTAGTATCATCCTCAATCTGATATAAATCTTCAGTTTGATAAAGAATACCGTTAGAATCTAAAGTTACATCAATAGAAGCTCATTTAGTAGGTAAAGTTGATGACCCTATAAATGCTAAGCTACGTTTAGAATTCAACGAATAATGAATATCATATTCATTCCAACCTGAACCCCCAGAGTGACCGGGTCACTTTCATCATCGAGATATTTCCTATTATCATCTTTATCCTGATATGAACCTTCAGGCTCACGGGGGCTTACCTTCCTCTTTGTCGAAAAAGGCATCAATATCATCCTCTTTTCATTCAGAATGATCAGAGTGATCATCTTCACCTCCACAAATCCTACAAGGTCATCATGATTATTATCCTCGTTTTGATCCAAATCTGTCATCGATGTCATCTTCAATATGACGAGAGTAGCAGTGTCTACGGCGTCATAGACAGAGTACACAGATTCACTTAGATCGTGTTCGTTCCGTCTGAGTCGTCGGTATCGTGGGGGTCGGCTCCCTATCCAAAGGTATCATCAGTCTTATAATCTTCTGTAAGATCTTTAAGATTTGGACCTGATACCGTTTGATTACCTCCGTGACCAAAAGACCTAGCAGAATATTTGTAGTTTTCTCTAAAGCTAGGTACGCCGGTTACCGTTACGCCCAGTATCGTCAATCATCTGATTATCAAAAACATGGTCATCTTTGGGGGAATCATGGACCAGGTCAGTTTCCACACCGAAAGATTCATGTGTGTAAGATGGTTCGAAAGAGAAATACTGATCTTCAGGTGGTTCATCGATCTTCCTTTCGCCTCTACATCGCCGCACTTCATCAACAGACCTCTACTACCCAGTATCAACTTGTTTTTCATTGGGTCTTGTTTCACCGAAATTATCATCTGGATCTCCACTTACTTTGTACGCTCTTTTGTTTATCGAAAGCAATTTTATCAGGTTGTTTGATGTCCTGCACACCTCCTGCATAGAGGAACATAAATCTTCCCAAGAATGAGGAAACTTATCATAGTCTGCAATCAGGATTGAACTAACGTCATCATACTGTTGGCTGATGTTACTTTTTCATCTCAAGTACCCACTGCGGGTTTTAAAATCAGTGTCCAGCTATACGTAGATTATCATTTTGAATCCTATCGTTACTCTTTGAAACTTTTGATACTTCATCGTTGAGCCAGAACTGACTTATCCAAAACTTGGTGTAATTTTCCTAACGCACCTAAAACTGAAAATTAACGCGCACGTATATAACAAACTAACGATTTAGAATAACACAGCTGCAACAAGTATGCACGCGTCATGGACTTTCACGTACTCACGCAAGGAAACCATGGCAATAGCAGTAACATTACAGAGTCACCAAAGAAACAGGGAAGGTTTTTGAAAACTTGAAAAGTATCGGGCATCTACGTCAGGGGTAATGCTAACGGACAATAACACTAACAGGGGCGCGCAACATATCTCTTGAATACCTGAGTTCGAAAGTTTCATTCCACAACAAACATCGATCAGGCTGGCCGCAAGGTAGTTAAACTCAGTTAAAAACTTCCAAGTCCTATTTTTTCTCGTGCAATTCCTTAACGCGCGCAAGTGCCTTTCAGAAATCGTTGCTCTTTAAGTTACTTTGCTTCAAATGAACAACTCACATTTTTAGCGTCATTTGGGTCGCGGAATCCACTAATGAAACACTCGCAGCTGTTTTGGTTATTGATAGATAATGTTAAAGGAATGTATCTTTCCCAACTGCACAAAAATGTGGAAATTAGAAATTTTCCAATGTTTTGTCGTCATGATGTTGGGCAATTAGAGCGTTTTTTGATTACTAGCGTGGAGGGAAGTGGGGACCTGCTTTGGTTTTGCCCTTCCAAGTTCTCTCTGGCTCAATAACTCGCGTTATAATCTTGTTGGATGCATTTCCCTGCGCCTGAAGCAAGTTACGTCTGCCAGCTCTGTGCTCACACTTTCTAATTGGTTGTAAGTAATAATTAAAGTCACATTGATTGGCCTTTGCGGTAAGTATTGAACACCCAATCGAAACGGATTCCAAATTTGATTGATAGCTCTAGCTGATGGTGACGCGACAGGATGGTGTTCTCGGTTGACTGATTAATAATGGTAATTGAACTGAGTGGAGTGCAATTTGGGCTGAACGAGCGCGCAGCGCGAGCTCGATTTGAAGTATGATTTCAGACCAAAATTGCACGACACGAGGTTCAATTACCACTTTATTACATCCATTTTGAAATCGCCCAAATACAGGACTCGGTCAATTCAAATATTTTATTGATGCAGTACTGAGCCGGTTTCTTAAATAAAAAGCGGAACCGGAAATTCTTTTACATCTTATTTTGAATGCAAAACAGAAAGACTTTGACGTCATGTGTCAAAAACTCAGTCAAGCGTAAAATGATCCGATTTAGAGCAAAAATGGTGCGATTCGTGAATAAATCGCACCAATTAGAGCCAATCAGATTACAGGGACCACCAGTGATTTCAAAATGGATGTAATAAAGTAAGAAACCCAAGGAATGTCACTCATTAGGGGTCTTGATCGTGGAATGGGCCGACCACTGATTCCCAGTTGTGCGGACACAATCAGGAACACAATCCCGACCCACAATTTCATTTCTCCTTTAGAAAAATCTCACACATGAGCAAATTTTGTCTCCGTACTGCAACTCAACTCGTAATGTGAAGAACAGCTTCGCAATACTGATTTTATGTCACAATCACAAATTACTAAATTTTACAATCGTACGTCATTAATTAAATAATTACATATAATGGAGATTACCTCATTTTTCTATAATTCAGTAATTTCCGTCGCTTCTTTTAATCTTGGACAGCAATGATAATATCGCTTAGGCTTTTCAAAACAAGCAGCTCGCTTTAGAGTCTCACAACTTAATAATAGCCCTACCGTTTTATTTCAAAAGTAGGCCGCTGTGCGCGGAAATCACTGCGTGCATTATACCCCCGCGGGAACTGAGTACTTTTCTCTCCTTTCCAAAAGTACGCGGGATAAAAGTAGCGCAGTTCCTTTTAGTAATACTGCTGCCATAAATAAGATTTTTTCTCAGGTTCTAAGGGGTGTGTGAAAATTTCTGCAATCGTTTCGTTCCCATAATCGATGGAGGTGATCCTTCAGGGAAAAGATCTATTAAACCTATATGTTGTGTCAACTTAAAAATATGATCTTGTTCGATTCACGGCAGACGAGAATGAAATAGCCTGGAAATGAGTTGTCATAGTGGTGCAGCCTTCTAGAACGAAATTCAGGGCGGTATACAAAATAAGCAAACGGATAACTAAGCAAACTGCGGGTTAACTGTTACACAAAAATAGGAAGTGGTGCGTATTGAATAGATACCGAGCATTTAGCGGTTTTTCTCTTTCACCACGTTTCAATGACGTAGCAAATAGACAACCCGAATGTCTACAGCGCAATTTCACTCTAGGCAGCATGCAAATCACCGCATTCGCTTATCACACCGTTAAAATGGATCATTACAACTATGGCTATCAGGACTTAACCAGTTGATCCGTGTCTGGGCAGTTAAGAGATCATGATGGGGTTTAGTAACGGCACATTTCCAAATTTAAAAATTTCTATTTACTTTCAGTAATCTTTACATGATAAAACAGCCAATAGACTGCGAAAATTCCTACAAAGCCTAAGATTTTTGCTGACAGGGTGCTACAGTAAATCAAAAGCACCACGTTGCTGGGAGCCGTAAACATAACCAGTTGTTGTTCAACCAATGATATCTCGCCGGCGCGCCATAACGCGCACACTGAAACTATATACGTCGGTAAGGAGCTGACCAGCAAAAGCATCTCCAAAACGTAACCTGTTGAGCAAACAGTTAAAATACTTCAAAGAAACTATAAAAACTGTCTATAGCTAAGAAGAGTGAGGATAAGTATGTCTTGTATTCTCGGCACGGACATAGGAAGAATAATAAAGTACACGGTCTGCTATTCTTGCCATCGGAGAATGAAATTATTTATTGCTTCTTCTACCTTTTTGGCAGGTTCCCTCAGCTGTTGTGTCACTAGTTGCCTGAACTACGTAGTTGGCGCACTGGAATCCGAATGAAAAGGCCTGGGTTCGGTTCGATGGGAAGCAAAATTAAGTTTGACATGACTGCATTTACTTAAATTCTCAGTCTATAGAATGACAAGATAACGAGGAGACGGGAAAATTCATTGCTTTTTACTTCCGAACACAGCGCATAGGGCACAGTCGCTGCAAGCCCGAGGTTGTAAATTCCAGTATGACGCTCGGATAATTCTCAGACCCCTCCACACGATTATACTTAGCCAGGTGCTTGGCAAATTTTAACAAAGATGTGTGCTAACCTGTGACTGAGAGGAAAGAGAGTTGCGTTGGTAATGCTTCTGTTACTGTTCGAGAGTACATACACAGAGCTAACGCTACTGTCGCAGGTAAAGTTGGCGTGAACTGAATCCGAACGCCTCGTATATACGGCAATCCTTCCGGTCTCAGAAATAACAACAGAAGAACGGCAAGAGACATCTAGGAAAACACAAATAATCCTCAAGAGAAAAACCAAACCAATGTACTAATGCAGTTGTTTGTAGCTTTTAAAAAGCCACTTACCCACAGCTCCCAGTAGTCCGGGGAAGAACACAGTAAAAGCAGCAGAAACGAGATACATATGGAAATGTTGGAGAAAAACGAAAAACTCTGAAGAACGAGTCCAGACGGAAGCTTTCCTTTCTTCTCTTCCTGCGTACAAAGTAAAGGAAAATAGTTGTTAAACTAATAATAAAGAGAAATCATCTTATCACTCCATGTTAAAACAAAAAATTACCAGACTATCTTCTTGTGCCACAGTATCTCTTCTAAGACCCAAACCCAAAATAATGTAAAGACACAAATGATAGAACGAACTGGAAAAGACTGGAGGCAGTTTGTGCGGTCCTTTAAAGAAAGAAAAGAAAAATGTAAGACTGTGAGAAAGATTGGCAACACGAAACAAAATGACAAAAAAAAAAAAAAAAAATATGAGCTGCTTTTTTGTTCACTGACCTTTCGATACATCCAGGGTTTTAGAAGTTAAAGTTTCTGACAAGACGCAGGCCAAAAAAGAACCACTTAGAAGAACATATGGCAAGCTAGAAATTAATGAGGAGAGCACGAACATAAGACAAAACGATAAGTTAACAATCTAAACAAAGCTGGGTTTTATTTGCGGGATAACGCCATTTACTGAAATTTCAGCACCGAGCCCCTTTTGCACCATCATTTTCATGAATCTTTGCCACTTACTTTGTTGTTAAGATTTACCAGTCCACACAAGGCTTGGGGTGATATAGGGCTTTCCGATGTAAGCTAGGCATGCATATGAACTATTTCAAAAGTATTTCCGCTTACGCAGGTAAAAAATTACGTATATAATAATATGAGTGCAAAATTTTATTATGCTTATTGGCTGAGAACACGGCAAAAATTTAAATCTAATTGATTGACAGATGAGCCTTTGGAAAATGTATCAGCGCTGATTTATCCCACATTACAATCGAAATCATGTGATTACAACTAATAACCGAGAACGACCCCCGAACTAACATAACTGTTTGTGTGATCTTAATCTAGCCGTTTAATTAACACCTAATAGCAATAACGTGGTAATGTAAGAGCCAAAATAAAACAGAAGGAAAAAAAGGCCTATCAAGAATATCCAGTCAAATCTAAATTATCACTGTTCATGCCAGATATTGTAAAGGTAAAGGTAAAGGTAAAGGTAAAGGTAAAGGTAAGTCTGTACTCAAGCCCAGGGGCCGCCCTGCCGGAGCTTATCCCTGTTTCTATCTAACATGAAGCGACTAAGAGTATTACTACTCCCCAGTCCATCGCAAGGTTACCACCCAGCAGTTCATCACGCTTCACTGACAGTTCGCCAGCACCCCATTAACACTCCTGGGTGGAGGGAGGCACTGTGAGAGTAGTGTCTAGATATTGTACAAGAATGAAAAAAATCATCCAAAAAATAGGAACAGAGTCCCGTGTTATGATCCTGGGAAGGATATCAATTCTTATTTGGCTTTTTTCATTTATGCCTTTTTTTTTTTTCATGAAAAAGTTATGGCAATTGGATGTTTGTTTAGGATCTGGTCTGTTTCCGTGGTCGCTCCAGAAAAAAACATAGCTCAGTTTCTCATCGAGGAGAAAAACTCAGTCGCAAAGGTGGCCTGGATGAAAGATCTGCTGTAGGTTTTCTGATTGAAACTTAAAATCTTTAGCAAGATACCTTAAATTAGGGGGTGCTTCTCCAAAAATCGGCTTCCAGGATATTATCAAGAAATAAAATGTAACGGTGGAAGAGATTCCAGAGAAAAGAATGACTAGAAGTGGACGAGTCGCTGGAGGCATCATCTACAGACAAAAACGAAGCTATAATGAGTTTAAATGGTGTGACTCAGGCGTCCATCTAATGTAGTACACAGCCTGATGAGTTAAGGTAGGCCTGTATACCAGACGGAACGGTACTCCTGGCAAGTTAAATTCCTCCCCCACCCCACCACATAACGTCAGGTTTTCCTGGGTTAACATGTAATCCTGGGTTGGTTTGTTCAAAGCTGGGTCAAGATAACCCAGTGTGGGTTAAAGTGGTAGAGTCTTCTTTATGTTCGGAGTTTACAGTAAACGCCTTCATGTATGAGATGAAATGGAAATACTAGGAACATAGAATCACTTAAGTATGCATCTTAGTCCGATTATTTAGAAAGGACGGCATTGCAAATAACAGGCGACCTCTTTTCACTCTTACCGCAGAGGAAACCTTGAAACCCAGCGCTAAGCCGATTAAAGCGGCAACAGCAAGCCTCTGTAACAAAGACGCTTGCTCCAAGGTTATAAGTTTAGTCAGTACCGCTAGTAGCACTGATAAAGCAACAAGAATTAGCCAAGGAAGTACAGTGGCCCTGGAAAAAGAAAAAGAAAAAGAAAATATTCTACAACTAACCATGGCAACAAAGCACTTGGCTTAAAAACAAGTAAACAATTATCTCATAATTTGTAAAGTACTTCATGCGATGCCGAGGAATTAAATTATAAAAGACTCCATTATCAAGTAAAATAAACCCATACCACTAACAACGCTTCAAACTGGTACTTGACGAATGAACTTTCCAAAAACCGAGATATATATTTATATACGAATTGTTACTGTTGCCGAAAATATCAAGAACATGAAATATTCCATTTACCCGTTTTGCGCAGCAGTAACCACAAACCCCCAAGTCTCGTCTTAAGCTTAGGTCTATTTGTGACAATATTTAGCTATCGACCAAACGGTCATCGGTCAGTCAATTCCCTGAGGGCGGGGTTAATTTTAAGATTCAGGGTCGGGTTGTTCAAAGTTGGGGTAAGATAACGAAATATGATTTCAGAACTGAAAGCTTAAAAAGAAAATTCAGTCTAATATTTTGTGTGTACAATTTGAAGATTGGATGCTCCTAAAAGAATAGATAAAATTATCCCCAAAAGGCTTTCGAACAAAAGAAATAAAGAAACACAGATAAAAATTCAACCCTGGGTTAGCGCCAATCGGCCTTCGAACTGGGTCCTAATAGACAAACAAATTGACTCACTCTGATGATAGAACGCTTTCATTGCTGAAGAATGGATAGAACAATGAGATCACATACACCGCGGCACCTTGCAGTACCTGGTTCAAAAATAATAATCAACAGAGAATAAATTGAGCATCCGCCCCCAGTGATATGTGAATGAAGAGACTGGGTAGTGATGTTAACTAACAACAGTTGTGTACATATTACGAATTCGCTTTCCACCAGAAGAAGAGGATTCTACGAAGCCTTGATTCGATGACAAGTCCTGGCATGATACATGCACGTGTAAAAATATAATATTACCCGTTCACGATTCATAGCAGTCATGTCTTTTTAAAACATCAAGAGGGAACATACATTGTAGCACTCACCCTGTAAACATTTAAGTCTGGTTGAATAATTTCCATTAAAACACTCACACACACTACAAGGATGTTAAGTCTCTTAAGGAAGAGATTGTGTGAAAAGTGCATGTGGGACAACTTGAGACATATGGCTCCCCAGACGAACAGCACTCCAGCTGAAATAATCACAAAAACGTGCTTCAGATAGGAACTAACTGACAAACGCAAGGATAGAAAGAAATAACATCAACACATTAATTTTTCCCCTGAATTGGAAAGACTGCGAACGGAGCAAAAGGATATAGGCAAGGATGGGCGGGGAAGGTTGGCCAGCGTCAAGCCGTTTTTCTGCATGTCTGCAGTTAACACTGATGACTTTTCCCTGAGATTTTCAAAAACACTGCATTTAGTGCCGCACTCACCTAGAACATCCGCTGGCGAAGGTATTCTGTGAGTCATTAAGAGCCACAAAGGGAGCACAAGCACATCGTATACAGCAACTGTTACAACGGCTGATGCCATACACAGCTTTAATCCCTACGACCAAGCGGCAATTTAAAAAAATCAGATTTGCCTCCCCTGAAAAGGATTGCTGAGGGCGTTGATTCTGTCTCTAAAATTACGAAGTCACAATCAAGTCCATGCCCTCTTCCCTTTGACTGATTTAATGTCTTTGTGTCAACACCAGCCACTAAGCAAACCTTCAGTGTTTTACCAAACACAAACAACTTAATGCCATCAGAGACATTCAAAGCACACGATGTCATGCTCAGTTGCAACAATTCTTTGTCAGTCATTTACAGAAAACCCCCCGAAAAATAAATCATAGAAAGCACATCACACATCGACGAAGAAAACTCAGCAGCAACGGCAAAATAACAAATTAAAACAACTACAGTCAGAGTTCTCGCTTTTTGCGCGAAATTCAGGTTTGATCGCTCCTTTGTGCTGCTTATGTTTTCTGTACATGGTGCAAGTAATTTAATTAAAAACCGACAGCTTGTTGGCAACTGGCTCAAATTAGCAATACATTTCGGTTTCCGAAACGAATGACGTTATTTTTTCCTTTTAAGGGAAAACTTACTTCATTTATTGACAGGGCCTCAGGCGACTCAATTATCTTGCTTACGACGTAGGTAAAAAGGAACATGAGTAATGCAGGTGATATAACAACCATGCTGGGAAGCAACACAGAGGATGTCTGTCTGAAGGGAAGGACCAGTGTCAAACACAGGGGTACCTTTGAACCATGGACTGCAATACACAATAACATGGACTGGGAATGGAGCTTGCCTACACTGTGCAACCTAAAAGCATACTTGGAATTATCAGTCATTATCTATATCATCTACAACGGTATTGATTAAGTTAAACGTGCCTATGTTTTTGATGAAATACTATAGGAAACTGAGGTCTTTCTAAAAGGAAAATCCCTTGTTTTTGAAAAATGCCTGGGCCTGGCAAATGTCTGCACAAGTTGGTCGTAAGGTATGATCTCTGTAATGCAAAACCTTCCTCGCTATAATTGGAAAATGTTCTAAATACCTTTCGGAAATATAACCAGCACAGAGCATGGTCCCCACGAGGAAATAGACTGGATAGAGGCTTTCTTTTGCAAGGATAGTTTCACAAAGCACAAAAACTGTAAAAATAGAAACACAAGTCACTTTTGAGTCCGCCTTGTAAACAAAATTTTTTTTTTTTTAAAATTGCATCAACCTACATGAAAACGGTTCTCGCTGCCACACTTTCAAAATCTGAGAATAGTACAGTCATGTAATTCAGTTTGACTTTTTTAAACAAAAAAATTGCTTATTTGGATTAGCAGTTTGAGGGGGCGACTCCTTGCTGACAATCAAGACCTGTTTATGCGCGTTTATGCGCGTTTACTGCGCTTCAGAGAATTCGCCTGCGTCTACGACGAATTCCACCTAGCTCCTTGTGTTCCTTCCTTTTGTTCTGATTGGCTTTTGTAATTAATCTGGTTAGTTTTTTAGAAACTCAAATGGAATGCGATCCAAAATAACCAACTTTTCATTTCAGGTGCCTTACCTATGGACTGAAAAACTATAAGAGGATTTATCCACTCTCTGTTAGTACTGAGGGAAACAACAAACACACACAGTACTGAGAGACAAGAAACTAGTCCAAGAAGAAAGTTCACTCCCCAGAGAGGGAGTGAAAAAAAATGGAAATAGTATCTTCCATTTGTTAAGGATTTCCGAACAAGATCTATCCAAAGAAATAACTTAACAAGCATGATCAAATTGATCTGCCTGAGAATTCTTGTAAGAAATATACAGAAACTTTTTTTTGAAAAATCCCAATTTTTAACAATGCTAAGAATTGAAATAAGTAGAATACTAAGGTGAGAAGCCATTCAATTCCTAATTAATCTGTCTAAACTCATAGCAAGTAGTCTACAGTGTATTTAAACCTTGTTATAACACATGGAAAACTCCATAAAAAGGCATCTTAAGCTGTAGTTACCCAGAGTTATGAAGTATGGGGTCAATACAAGTTAAAATTCATCAAGGATACATTAGTGTCCATGGCAGCATACATACACCAAGTAAAGACAAAATACCAAGTACAACATACAAAACATTCTGATAAACCTGCAAAGAATTTGATTTGAAAAGAGTTAACTTCAAACAGGTTTCTTTTTCATAAATGCAAAGAAGAATTTGAACATTAGCATTTAAATAGGTATCACAAAACACTTACAATCAAAAGAGAAACAATAAATTATTGCATAAAACATATGTACATGTATGTTATACAAAAACAAAAATGGTAAAACCTCAAAAAAATCCATCTTTGTAGTTCATATATACATGTACCAGTAGGGTACAGCTGTAAGCTACCATTGTTTATCAGTAGCATAGACTAGATGTCTCTAGTTTGCAAAATTTTGAGGTACCCAAACAGAATGTAGCCATTCTTACCTTAGAGATTTAAAGGAGCCAAAGGAACTCCCTTTGCCTGTGCCACACTCTTGGTCAGTGGAATCAAGTGAAATGCCAGTTGGTTGAAAAATGGTGGAAGGTTATCCTTGTTTGCCTGGCATTTCACTTGTTTCTGCTGACCTAGAGCCTTAAAATGGCTATGGGCTTCAAAAAGAAAGGGAAATGGGAGTGCTCCTCAAATTATAAAAAAAATATTATTTCTGAGAAACACTGAGCAACAACAATAATTTTCAATTATTGTTATTCCTAAGCAGTTCCAAGAGGAATGTGCAACTTGGTGATATGTTTGAACTAGTGTTAATAGAATCAGTATTGTGTTAGGGCAATAACCAATGTTTGACATTAAAGAAATGGCTTGCTGTGATGTACCTTATGTAGGCAATGCCCAGAGAAGAAAACAACCAAATACTACTTTTTACAGTAATTGCTGAGATTATTTTGACATACCCTCCACTTTTCTCTTCCACTGGTGATCACAATTAATACACCACAGATGACATTTCCTAGAATGAGTGGCAGACTATGGAAACCCAGGGTACCAGATGAAATCAATATTATGATAAACAGTAGCTAAAGAGAAAAACAAACAAACAAACAAAATAATCATGTTTATCAGTTGTTCAAAATAGCTCCAGCCTGGCTTTGATAGCTTAGTACATTATTAGTAAAAGAAACTTTTAAGAAAAATGGAACAGTTGCCAGGTAACCTTTATACCTTGTTGGTTTCAATATAATTTTTAAATAGTGTGTAACATTTCCACTATTACAAATTAAAATTGTAGAAAGAACAAAATTCTTAAACTGCAAGTGATTTGCTACTTGTAAGTGACAAAAACTAAAAATAATGAAACTCTAGAGGCCTCGAAGATATTAAATTCTAAATCAATGTCACAAAATTCCCTGTGTTTGGATAATTCTTTATATAATGAGAACACAGTGGGTAAACATTTGTGAATACTACCAATTAGTCAAAAACAATGACAATTGACCAGTGAGTACAAGTGAGTACTTTTATGGTGAAGCTTCATAAAAAAAAGATAAAATACATGGATGAACACAATACCAATAACAACAACAGATTTGTTTTCAAAAGGCTTCAAATTTTTCCTTTGCATTACTTTTGATTCCTGTCAAAAAGTTCTGTGAAGGCTTCTAACTTTCTTTGTTTTTGTATAACTTTTGTTTCTCAACATTTGATTGGTACTGTTACACCTGTTCCCCAACACTGTGCAAGGAAATTAGCAGATGGCTAGCCACATTGAATTGTACACTCACATTCTACATTTGACTACAGTGTCCATGACAAGCTGTGTACTTACCAAACTCCCTAATCCAGATCCTAGTTTTGCTTTGGCAACAGCATCTTTTGAAAATTCTGATTTGAATTAAAATTATCTAATGTTACTGGTGTGAAAGATATTACACTGTAAAATAAAGGTGCAATTGGCTGTCTCAACATAAAAAATGCGACTATTATCTGTAAAATTGTACCATTTATAGCACTTGGTGAACTTCATGACTTTTACTGAGAATTAAAGGTAAAGAAAGAAAGACTTTAAATACTACAGATACAGTGGATGTAAGTTGCTCATTCTTAGTCTTAGTTCATGACATAAGAAAAAAGGCCATGACCCTACAGGGGATAACCGATGATAACTAGCTTCTTCAACCAGTCACTGCTTCCATACAAAATTCCTGTGACAAGTTGTGGGGTCAAGGTACACCCATATTCCATTTTGTGGAACAGATGAATTCAAAGTGAATTCTGCAGCTTCCAAATGTTTAGGGTTGCATGTCATCAGGCTAAAAGACTCATATATGTGACCCTTACCTAAAAATTCTATCTCGTCATCAATATCCAGACAAGTACAGAGAAAGACAGGAAGAACACCACATAACAGCAATTTAATCTGTAAGAGAAATACAATAAAAATTATATTCCCCTTATTGAGTTATGAGCCAGGTAATTACACACTGTAAACTTAAGTCTGTCCCAGACATAAAATGTTCTGGTTAGATCCACTGCATGAGCGTAGCTGCATTAAAAGTAAGTCTCAACTCGTTCAGGCCTAATGTAACATTAAAAATCATGTAGAAGCTTTCCAAATTGAAGTGATTATACTGATGTTGATAACCAAAGTCACATGATAATCACTTGCTTGACTTCAAAAGGTGGATCAGTATAATGGTTGGATAGTGACCAGATCATTTCTCATAGACAGAGATAATTTCAAGGTCCACAAATAAAACAAAAACATTTAAGGAGAACAATAGCTTGCCATCTTCAACAAACAAACTTGATAAATAAAGGACTTAATTCACACATGCCAAGAAGATCTTACCAAGAACAAGAAAGGCAACTCTGGATCATATTTCTTATTTACTAGGTAGCACACCAGTATGTAACAATTGTTTACCTTGCCTCCTTGCTATGCCAGTCATACAATCATATAATTATATATGTATCCAGTTAACTTAGATCAAAACTGACAAAAATGTGACACTGAGCATTGAGGTTGAAAAAAGGCAACACAAAAAAAACTGGAAAGGCATGCTACAGGACATGATCAAATTGAAGAAAGGAATGAAACTGTGGCAACCTAAGGTTCGTCAGCAGAGAATGAAAAAGAGCCAGAACCAATATAACCTCCTGTTTATTTTGAGAACCTAATCAAAGTATTTCTTGGGACAATCTTCCATTAAAATAATTACTCACCCAGGTAATTATATGTAAGAATTCCATAAAGTTAATCACAATAAACATGCTGCCTGGGACAGTAACAAAGTTTACCAACAGCAGTGTCTTTTCAAGACTGCTAAGAAGAAAACCTGAAAGGAAGTTTATCATCACATGGTTTTTGAAGGAAAACACTCAAATTATTGCCAAAACTTACTCAGTTTTTGTTTTACATCTTAGGAACTTAAAGAGGCTTGAAAAATATTCTCATTACCTGTTGTCATCATTTTCTTTAACAAAGAAAGCTAAGGAACCAAGGAAAATATGTAATTTCATGGTTTTTTTTTAAGGTAAGGATTTAACTGCACAAAATTACTATAATTGTATTTTAGAGAGTTCATGACATGACCACTAACAGATCACACCCTAACATATTTGACACCTATTTCAAGAGACCAAAATATCATTGTGTAAAGACATTGGTCAGTAAATTTTCTTTATTCAACATTAAATGTTTCTTAATTTAAAAGAAATTTGTTCTCTGGAAGAAAATAATGCAAATCATATTGAGGTAATATTATAGACTGAAGCTTTTCTTGCACAATACAAAACTATTTCTTTGAGCTATAACAAGTTTAGTCAAGGTTGGTATGAATGACTTACGTTCAAGAGGTCTTTCCTCCCCAGCCTTATGAGCCACATTGTGATAGATAAATGAAGAACGACTTGGAGGGTAGAAAATTTGAAGAAAAAGGAACCTAAAACAAAATTCAAGAATCAATGATAAGTGTCAATAATTTGTCATAGTCAATAAAATTACTATTACTTTGACATACATTTTCTCCAAATAAACAGTTAATCACCAGATTAATGTCATTTCAAGGTATTGATGTATCATTTCCGCAAACTGGAGAAAACAAAGGACCCCATTTGTCTGTTCAGTTTGGGCTCTAAACTAGTGACATCCCCCCTACAGAGCTGTGGGATCTGTCAGAAAAGAATTACTTTGAAAATGTGAGGCAAGTCATACATACACTGAATATGGACCCTAAGTGTTATGACTAGACTCTAACTGCACACTCCTAAATAACAACGGTCACACCCCAATCCTAATGAACAGCCAGGGAGAACATATACTTACCCAAAAATAATACAAAAGAATGGTACCACAGACCAGCTGAACACATTTCCTGATACAGCTGTCAGTGTCAACTGGCCAACTATTGGATAGCTAATGTATACTACATACTCCATGTTCTACACAGAGGGAAAAAAAAAACAATCTTAAGCAATTTTCTTTTATCAGTAGGAATGTTTAAAATTCATTCTAGGGTTGAATTCTTTTTAATGATGACATCAAACAAGGAAAATCATTTAAACTGAAAAAATTTATGAAACATATAAAGATTGCTCCTAGTCAAAACAAGGGAACTTGGATCAAAGAACTGATACTAAATTTACCAGTAAACCAAGAAACAAGCCACATGACCTCCACCAATAAGCTGATTAGAATTTGCAAAACAAACTCAAAGGGGCTACTGTTGGATGGATGGATGACCTTTATTTAAACACGATAAAAATTTAAAGCTATGAGCTTGTGGGGTTGTGTATTTATAATTAAAGAGTGACATAAATCCTAATGTAAATAAAATGTCAAAATATTGACAAGATTGGTAACTAGTGCATTACGAATTATACATTAAAATATTTTTTCTTACGAGATAAAATCATTACTGAATAGGTAAAATATCACTAAAATATTTATAAATAATCATCAATTATATATAAAATCTGTATTTCTACACTGCGTTGTCAAGGCAGAGGTAGTCTCGAATTTAAAATCCTTGAAATAATCTTTGGTTCTTATCAGATATCGATCTTTGTTGCTCAGATGCGATGTTCCATTCTCATTGAGACAAATCGTATTCCACAGAACGGTGCCCCTGTAAGCCAGTGAATCCTTCATAAATCTAGTCTCGAATCTTGGTACTGATAAACAGTCTCCACCCTGTAGTGAATATCTATTACTCCTTTCTACGTAAATATTATTAGACAGCAATTCAGGCAAGCTGCCATTTTGTGCTTTAAAAAAGATCTTAAGAATATCTGTTTTATAATATAAGTAAATAGTGGGCCACCGATTATAAGCCAGCACCTCTTTTGAAGGCATGTCTCTTGGTACATTAAAAATGATTCGAGATGCTCTACAATGAAGTCTTTCCATTGAATCAAGTAAATTTGAGTTACAACACGCTCCCCACAGTACTAGTCCGTATTTAACTGAGGGCAAAATAACCTTAAAGAAGAAGTCTCTCAAAACGCTTTTTGGCAAGAATCTAGATGGTTTTAACAGGTCTAGTTTGCTAGCAAAACTCTACTTAACATCCATTAAATGTGCATCCCATATTAACTTGTGGTCGACTGTCAAGCCTAACACGCGTGTTTTAGTCACCCATTTTATACTGGAGTCACCCAATACCACCGGGGCAATCGACCCCATTGGGTTTCCCCTACAAAATAGCATTGCTTCACTCTTTCCTGGATGGGGTGTTAACTGGTTTCTACCACACCAGTCATAAACTTCCTTCAATGCCCCATTCAATGCCCACTGTTGGCCATGATATAGTTCATTTAAGGAAATTTCTAAACTCTAGCCAACTAAAAGTAAGAATTTGCTCTAACATCATGATTTTAATGGTTAACTGATCAAAAACTCACGGGAGAAAATTAAAATCAATCACATTTTTGTGAACTTTGACCATGTTGGCTCACTTTATCACAAGTTAAGAGACTTAATGAGTTTTTAGTAAGATGTTCTTCAATTTTGTTGCAAGCATGGAACACAGATTCTTTATTAGGATAGGATTAGCAAAGTTTAAAGCATCATATAAGTGACTAAATGAAGATGATCACTTGTAACACTGTTCTCTATATAAGATGAATTGGATCTAGAAATTTACCATCTTCCTCATACTCAAAAAGCTATTTATTTCTTTATAATCATGCGTTACAAACATCCATGCTTCAGCAACTTGGTAAATATACAATGTATATACACAACTCATGCTCTGCCAGATTGATCTCAGAGAAAATGCTATGACCCTTTGATTAAAACAAGGTAATGAAATTTTGCACCAATAAATTGAAAAGTTCAGGTACCTTTATAAACTCAGGCTCTTCATGTTGAAGTTGCTTAAACTGGAAGAGACCAACACCACCTTCAAAAAATAAATTTGATAAAAGGGATTTAAACAGTCAATATAGCAGCAAAAAAACACTAGACTGAAAACAAAATAGTTTACAACAAAATTTCTGGGTTTTGGATATTGCTGTGTTCAATTGCTAATCATCCAACTACTTTACCTGATAGCACAATAAACACATTGTAAATAAATATTAGTCCAAGGTTAAATACTGACTTCCTAAAAAAAGGCAAAGAGAAATATTCAGTTAATTATCAGTACACCATAAATATTTAAAGTACTAGGTATCAAAAAATATCCTAAATACCCAAATGATACTCCTTTAGGAATACAAAAATGATAAAAAAAGAACAAATTTGTTCTAAAATAAAGGAAAATTTATCTCCCTAACTAATAACCTTCAAAAAAGACTTAACAGTACATTGTACTTAACTGCATGTAGATGCTTGTTTAAAAGGTACTGTAAAGACTTTATAGTTACTTCTTTTCATTTACACTTCATTATAATTGTTTTACTCTGCATATGATCCCTCTGTTTAAACTTACCATAGAAAGGGAACAAGGCAAAACATTGAAGACAATTGGAAAAGGAGTACCGAAACAACATATGCGACCAAAGAACTGAAAGTAATGAGATATAGAGTTAGTTAATACATATCATTTCTGACGTGCCATCCAAATACTCTTTGTGAACTGAATGCAATCTCTAGTTGATCATCACATGCAGTGAATATTTACCAGTAATACATAACCTTAAATAATATTTTAACCAGAACTAATCAAACAAAAGGGATGCACACTTCAACAGGAATATACTCTCAAAAAATTACTTAAGTTGAACCACCTTTTTTTACTTCTTGAAGTGTTTTCCACAAGGTACATCATCAAAATACAGAACACAGCAGAACCAAACAATCTGTTATTGTTGGAAAAAAAATCAACAAAACATTATTACAACTAAATATGAAATGAAACTATGAATCAGTGCTTCTAGTAATACTGGACAAATTCATGTTCATATTGTGAGTTATGATTTCACAGCTTACAAATAGCTTTTTCCACTCATTTTATCACTGCATAGTACTTAAAATAAAACGCATTTCAATATATAATATGTTTGACTCTGCTGGACAACATCAACATCAGTACACATAATCATTGTCCATGCTATTCTCTATACATTGCCCGAGAGGTTGAGGAGAATTTTTATTCAAGAAGTTCTTAGTAGCCGGTGATCATTTCCAATATTGCAAGGAGAAATTAGATGCAAGTCACTCTTGGAGGTCAGAAAGTTAGTTCCTGCACCAGGATGCTGCATTTCTTATATGCTCTGCATGGCAATTGTGCATTAGTTTAAATTATTAGCATCTTTCATCACCACATTTAAATGGAAGGTAGTGTGTTCATTGTATGTTAGCTAGCCCAACCCAAATAACAGTAACTAACTTCTTGATCATTATCAAATAGACGCCTAGAACAATCGCTCGATTGTCATATTTTTTAAATGTTTCAAGAAAAATGGCCCAAATTACATTATTAATTTTTTAAGCCCCACATTCTAACTTATAATTTACATAACAGAGGCCATAATGTTGAACAGAAATCTCACAGTACTCAATTCATGCACAACTCCTTTACACATATTATTTCTCAAATTTGAAATCAGTTACCTTCGCCAGCAAAGTCTGCTCAAAATGTGCCAATTTTTCATAGATCAATAGGCCATTTTATAGTTGTGTGCTTAGTTGCCAAGCCTTTGATTCAGAGTGAGACTAAAGGTTTGTATCATAACAAGGTCACCCGTAGCCTCACTCCCATTCAAAGGCTTGGCAACCAAGCACAAAACTGTAAAATAGACTATTAGCAAGCTTGATTTTCGCGGTTGCCAATGCAACAATTGTTCAATTTGATATTTATCATTTGCAACGATTATTCTCAGCACTTGTCACCAACTCATTACATTATATATTATATTTTTTATCAAATAACTTTTTTTTTATTATATTGTATATATGTTGTACTTCAATTTTATCCTTGGTTCAAATTTTATTTTTCCTTTATTTCAAACTCATTATCATACATTAGCATGACCGAGAACAAAGGAAAATAAAATTTGAACCAAGGATAAAATTGAACTACAACATAATTTATACATAATGCTTTCATAATTTCTCTGTCAATCACTTTTGTCATGAGCCTCTGGCTCGGGAGATCTGGGCAACCACTCCCTGTGTAATTGACTTTAAATAAATTATTATTATTATTATTATTTTATTCTTACAAACAGAAAAATCACAAAGCAGTAGCTTTCATAAGTTAAAAAGAAATGAAAACCATTATTAAACATACAATTCTCCTCCGATGTAAAACAAAGGTACAACACAAGGAATGAAAACACAGGCAAACTTCTTGTTGTGTTGACAAGGTCCTGGGATAAAGGTGGAATCCGGTGCAACACATTTGTCATGCAAATGCAACTGAAAATGACAAAACATGCAACAAATTTAAATAACATAAATTATGAGGCGAGTCATAAATGCATAAACATTTGATTTAAGCTTCAGTTAAAGTAGTTTACTCCTTACTTCACATTAGTTCTCTTGCTCCTAAACTGTAGGAATCAAACAACAAATCTTACCCCACATTATTTACCCCACATAATTAGCTTTAATCACCACATTCTTTCTTTTTATTTCTCATTTTTTTTCTTTTTCCTTCTTTTAACTTAATTTAATTTTTATTTATTTATTTACTTATTTCTCTTTTCTCTTTGTTTACAATATTAATAGTGTATAAATACCTTGGTTAGTGTAAATATAGAATTAAAGTAAAGTAAGTCTTGTGTAAAGGTTCAGATACACCAGCTAATTACACGTGACAGTGACCAACTCGAAAGCTTACGCTCCTTTGGTCACTGTGCACATTTTACTTTAGATTATTCATATAATTTACTCTTCTTATATATTCTGACTTTTGTAATCTATAGCAATCTCTACTGTAACCTCTCGAAATAGTGCGAATAAAAATGAATGAATGAATAATGCTTTTTGAAAATTAAACTGAGATACAACATGTACCCTGGTCAGATAATCCTGTAAATCTATATAGCTTTAATTAATTTGTGCACTAAGTCATTTTTATTATCTATTGTATAATTTGGATGCATCCCCTCGTGAAAATGGTGAACATGCACTTTCTTTCCGATGCTATCCTACTAGCAATTAACGGTAGATTCATTTCTCGATTATTTTCCAGAGATGTGAAACTATTTGTTGAAAAATAAAATAAATGAAGAATTTGAAACAAGAATTTGCTCTTTTACTTAGTAATCTTATTGGTAACATGAAAGTTTTAACTCTACTTGGGGAATTCACCTTACCGTGTCATCGCTTTGTTGTTGTTGTTTAAACGCTTCCGTATGTTGAGGCACAATATGAATGTGCCTCAGTTCTGTTCCGTCCATTTTACTTTATATATCACAGGTAACGTATTTGTCGTTCCATAACGTAAAATCCACCCCTAACTATACATTTATCTCAAAATTGACGAAAGAAGCAAAGTTTATGTTTGTCTCATTGTCTGCCATTTTGAAAATAGCAGAGATACTGGGTCTGGTTTGTTCCAGTCTTTCTCGCATTTGTCAGAGAAAATCGCGAACGTGACGTGGGTGGGTTGGAGGGCAAGCGAGAACGCCCCACACTTCCGTTACGAATCGTAGTTTAGAAACTGGAACAACTTCGTCTCATAGTTCATTTTGTGGTCCTTTATCTCTAGTGAACGATGTCTCTATTCGGTGAATATCCATGTATCAATCAAACAATTGCTCCAAGTTATATTTCGTTTACTTCAGCAGCAATATCGGTTCCGATGTGCTTGTTTACCATCGCTGGCAACCTGCTCGTGGTATTGGCAATCTTCGTGGATCCCAACAAAGATCTAAAATCGCCGTTTAACTACTTTGTGGCGAACCTAGCCATCAGCGACCTTGTAGTGGGGTTTGTCGTCGACCCGTTATCTTTCGCATATCATCTGAGCGAAGGAACTTCGAGGAAATACCCAGCCCCTCTGGCTTACATCCACATGCCATACTTCATCTCTTGTACAGCTTCTGTTCTCAGTTTAGCGGCTTTGACGGTGGATCGATTCTTGGCGATAACATCTCCTCTGACTTACAGAACAAAGCTGAATCCTAAGAGGGCAGGTTTTGTGGCAGCTGGCATCTGGGCCTTTTCACTAAGCTTTCCGTTTGTTTACTTTGTGACAGGCTACCTGACCTACGCATTTGTCTTCGCTCACACAGTCATAATTTTCACTTTCCTGGTTATGTTGATTACGTATTACAAGATCTTTCGCGTTTTGAAAAATCAAGTAAAACAGTGGGACTCGATGGACCAAACGAACGTGGACAATCATGCCAAGAGAAAGGCGGCAAGATGGGAACAGAAAGTGACAAAGACCTTTATGATTGTGTTGGCCCTCTTCTTGGCATGCTATCTACCTTCCTGCATTTCCATCTACATCACGAATCTTTGTAGTGCCTGCAGTTGTACGTTTATTCATTGGGTCAGAGATTTTCATTTCCTTTTGATACTTTCCAATTCAGGGGTGAACCCGTTTGTTTATGCCTGGCGATTTGACAATTTCAGAAAAGCGTTTGTACAGCTTCTGTATTGCAAAAAGTGTTTCTGGCGCCGACAGGCAATAACTGTAGAGTTTCACACCTTCCCGGAGAGTACGACAACTGAGATTACTGAGTAGAAATTTGTGCACGTGCGAAATGGGGCAAAGTTTGAAGGCGTCATTGCTGCCTTGAAGTAATGACAAAAGACAACCCTTTCGTACCAGCAACGATAAATTCGCTGTGGAGGAATTAGGCACAATGAATACCATTTAACCTCTGAGAGATCGAATAGTCATTCAAAGCAGAGACCAGTGCAACACGCTAGAGCTGATAAAGGTCTATATCAGCAACTTATATAGTACCCAATTTTTCCAAGCCAACAGGTCACACAACGCCCATCACTCGACGTGATTAGGTGCGAAAGGGCTATTTGTTGCGGAAATAAAACGTTAACTGGTTTGCTAAGTTGATATTTCCGTTATTATGTTATCCCCAGCTTGTAGAGTGTAATAAGATCTACACGTATGTTCAGAGTATTGTAATGCAAAACTTCTGGTCTATATTACAAGTACTGATGACAAAAATGCGGATATTAAACAATGAAAAGGCATTAAAGTGATCTTCAGACAAAATGAACCTCGGCGGAAATCCACGATATGATTGCAAAAAAATTCGCCTCATTCAGTTGTAGCTGATACTTGAGTATCAGACTCCAAACGTGTTATTTTCAGTATCAATATTCGGTGATCAATATCCCCTTATCAATTTTACGTTCATAATAAAAGTATTCGCTTTCGCGCTGATGAGACACAACAATTCTTCTACTTTCCCTTTCGACGGTAGTCCAGCTAAGGTATAGAGCTAACGGGTAGAGCTAAGATATACAGCATCCTACAAATTACGCTGCGTTCAAGCGTTCTTTTTTCGAGGGAGCGCAATGTGTGACAGCCCAGCAGTAGGTAGATACGATGGCGGGGACGGAAGAAAGAACGTCTGATTCAACGTTCTCAAGTCGTCTGCTGCCTATTGTCAGAATGCCCAATGATATCTAGTGTCATTCTTTTGATGTAAGCCAAACATATTTTAACCGGAAATAAACACAACTTGGAAAGCTCGAATGTATTGTGATGGCACAAAAGACGTGTAAAATGTCGCCGTGCTGTCTCAATTCGTGTCGACCTCGACAGATTCCGCAATTGCGGTAGCAGTGATTCCACAATCCTTTATTGACACATTTTTCGTAGTTGTTCATGGATATAATTCAGTGGACTACCACAACAACAGATGTCAAATATGATTACGTGCTAATGAACTATATTATGGAACTTGAGCCTCATTTCCAACGCTGGCATAGTTTTCTATCTATTGTCTGAGGCAGTAAATACAATAGTTTCGCACAGGAAGTGAGGATTACAGCAGAACTCTACTCCAACAATCTTCACTTTCGGATTCTAATCGAACGTTGGTAGTGCCATAAAACTTATCGAGTCATGTCTCTAATTGGTGAATACCCGTGCAAAAATGAATCAGTCGCTCCAATCTACATCTCGTTTACTACGGCCGCGGTATGTATTCCGCTGTGTCTATTTACCGTCGCTGGGAATGTGCTCGTCGTGTTGGCAATCTTCATCGATCCAAACAAAGATCTCAGATCACCTTTTAACTACTTTGTGGCCAACCTTGCCGTTAGTGATCTCTTGTTGGGACTCGTCGTCGACCCGACTGCGATAGTGTACCATGTAATAGAAGGAGTTGAGAGAAAACTACCACCTTTACCCTACATTCACATGCCGTACTTCATTTCATGTACAGCCTCTGTTCTCAGTCTAGCAGCTTTGACACTGGATCGATATTTGGCGATAACGTCTCCGCTATCTTACAGAACACAACTGAATCCTAAGCGAGCTGGTTTAGCGGCGGCTGGCATCTGGATATTCTCATTGAGTTTCCCTTTCATATACCTTGTCACGGGCTACCTTACATATTCATTTGTCTTTCTTCACACAGTCGTAGTTGTCACCCTCTTAGTCATCCTTCTCACTTATCTGAAGATATTTCGTGTGTTTAAAGATCAAGTGAGACAATGGGACTCTTTGGATCAAACGAACGTGTTCAATCAGGCTAAGAGACAGGCTGCAAGATGGGAACAGAAAGTGACCAAGACCTTTATCATTATGTTGACTCTCTTCTTGGCATGCTACCTTCCTTCTTGTATTTGCATTTACATTATCAACTTATGCAAAGTCTGCAGCTGCAATCTAATTCACTGGGCAAGAGATATTCCTTTTGTTCTAATCTTAGCCAATTCAGGAGTGAACCCATTTGTGTATGCCTTGCGGTTTGAAAATTTCAAGAAAGCGTTCGCAAAGCTCTTGATGAACAGAAATTGTTGTCGACAACAAGAACAAAGGACTGTAGCATTTGACAACATTCCCATGCAGCCACAAATGGTGCAAGATGGAACACAAAGCGACTAATTATTTAGCTGTATCTGAATAATTAGTCGCTTTGTGTATTGGCTCTGTTCTTGGAGCAGGCTTGGACGTGAAGTAGAACTTGTTACCTATTAAGGGGATACTGCAAGCTGTTTTGAGTAGCGAACTGTAAATATGTCAAATACGGCAAAGTTTGATTTTGAAGATCTTGGAAGATATGATTTCTTTATAGAGATCGCCTTATTCTCAGCTTGGAGAAACTCAAAACAGCGAATTCATCATGAGCTCAAGTTGACATAGTGCCGAGCGAATTCGATTCGGGTAAATTTTAAAATTTGTTCATTGCCAACGCACAGTTATTTCTAGAATCGCATCATTGAGTAAAATCTCGCATTCTGATTGATTAACGAAGCGAAGTATTCAGCCCGGAATTGCGAGTTGAAAACGAGGCTACGGGAAATTGTTTCGCATGCACGTCACTAAGCACAACAACTATCGTCAAATTGTTCCAAAGTTTGGTTTCTATGTCAATTTAAAATGTTTTCAAAACCATTGTCACCTTCTAAAGAGCAAAAACAAAAAAAGAGTTTACAAAGTGAGCCTGAGGTTCTTCCTTGTTTTGAACTGAACTTCAAATTCTTGGAGAAGCATGAAAAACCTCTTTCGCTCGCGACAACCCGAAAGGGAGAAAATCCCATGAACACGGCCCAGAAAAACCAATCTCCGAGCTAACAGGTCACGCGAACCCGGGTTCACTATCCATCTGTAGCCATAATCTTTTAGAAAAACAACAGAGGATGTCAAGCAAGTTGGCTGGGTTTCCAGTCGTACCACTACGACTGTCACAGCTGCCAACGCCAGCGACGGTCCACGCACTAAAGATTTGCGAGAAATTTATGTCAACAGCCTTGCACTTCCATCAGTAGTTGGCAATAACACAACATCAACTGAATGAATAACGCCACTGATGATCTAGCAGTAAGAGTTCTAGGTGGATTGTTCACCAATGTATCGTTCAACAACTCTCCAGTGAATATCTCCATCAACTTTCGGTCAAATGCTCATTCCAACGATTCAGCTAATGGAAGTCGCCTGTAGAGAATTTCTACAAATAAAAAGATTACAGTTTTTGGACTTTTCATGAGACACTTCTTTGTTTTTAAAGGAATAAAGTATCGATCAATACACGTATTTACACTCCAAGGCACTTACCTTATATTGCGAAGTTATTGCACTTAAATTCAGTGCTTTCGCTTGCACACTTCATTTCTCTCAGTTTGCCACCTGAGAGGTAAAAGCTGTAAATTACTTTCCTTCTCCAGGAAATTATTTGCAATGTTGAAAAAAGATGTTAACGATAAATGGCTTGTAAATTCTGTGAAATACCACTATTATCCTGAAATAGTGTGAAGCTTGTTTAAAGAGTTCGAAAATTAATGTAAAATCAAGCACGAGTTGCAAATAAAATTGTCGAAGGTTAAAACGCGTACGAATAACCTTGCTTTCTATTCGCTAACATAATGACACTTCTGACAGTTGACTTTGAAATGGCTTTTTAGAGCGCGCGCTCGGGATAAAAACAAACAATAATATTGCCGACTTAATTTCTTGTTTTCTTATTTTCATTCAGTTATGCGATTCTAGAAAAATTCATTACCTGACTCGTGAATTCCGCGTTAAATTGCACTTGAAAACCGATACCGCACGAACTGCTTCGCGATTCGTGCGATATTGGTTTTCGCGTGCAATTTAACGAGGAATTCCCTCGTCAGGTAATGAATTTTCCTACAGTATAGCATAGGGATTAAGATTTGAAAAAAAGGATGTCACTAAAAAGTGTTCGCCAACCTAGCACGACTCTTACCCTCTCGATTTTGTTCACTCCGTCAAGTATACTCGTAATTAAGACCTTATGAGTAATCCTCTTAGGACTTTCTTCCTCTGTATGAGATAAAGGAATAGTATTCTTTGTATATTTCTTTAAATAAAGGTTGATTTTCTTAAAAATGCCACTTGTCTGCTAATCTTTTGATTAGGTTTGATGGGTGATATTGTGTTACAAAAGGTGGAAGATTCTTTTGAGTGGTTTGACTCTCTATTTATGAAATTCACTTCTGAAACTAATGGACGAATTTTCTTACAGTCGTAAAGTTGGTAGTTAAAACCAGAGTAATTCCCCATACGATGTATGAGTGTCGGGTTAATTCGGCACTTAATAAATAGGGAGTGCTAATTTACTACGCCAATCAAAATGCGAGTGTTTATCGATTCCCCGATGCAAAATGTGAGGGTTGTATTCAAGCACCATACACCATCCCCGTAAAAGTGCGTGAAAATAAGAGAGGATATCAATGTTTTTGTTTTCGTTCGTTAAGAATCAGTTAAAAAAAAGTTCGTGCTCAAGCCTCATAGACCATGTTATGAAAGAACTTAATTTCCAAAATGTAAAACATTGTTTCCCACTTATAGTCTAAAGCAGAAATAAAACTTAATATATTAGTCTCGAGCAGGAAGTGAAGTGCCCTTCCTCTGCGATACAGGAAGCGACCAGGAATATTACTCCCCCCCCTCCCTAGAGGGGATGCCAGTCCATCACAAGGTTACCACTCAGCATTTCATCAGGCTTCACTAACAGTTCGCCAGCACCCATTTACATTCCTGGGTGGAGAGAGGTATTGTGATAGTAGTGTCTAGATATATGCAAAATAATCCAAAATATAGGAACAGAGGTGCGTGTTAATCAATTGAAGTAAACTTAACTCAATTATTTTTCATGTCTTAGAACTGTTATGATTCTGGGAAGGACACCATTAAGCATAGTAATTCTTATTTGGCTTCTTTCATTAATGCCTTTTTTTTCACGATAACGTTACGTTATGGCAATTGGATGTTTGTTTAGGATCCGGTCTGTTTTCGAGGTCGCTCCAGAAGAAACATAGGTCAGTTTCTCATCAAGGAAAAAGACTCGATAGCAAAAGTGGCCTGGAAGAAAGATGTGCTGTAGATTTTCTGGTTGGAACTTAAATTTGTAGTTAGATACCTCAAATTAGGGAGTGCTCCTCCAAAAATCGGCTTCCAAGAAATTATCAACAAATAAAATGTAACGGTAGAAGAGATTCCAAACAGGAGAATTACCAGAAGTCGGTGGAGTAGTTGCTGGAGGCATCATCTACAGATAAAAAGAAGCTATAGTGAGTTGAAGAAGGTGTGACTCAAGAGTCCATCTAATGTAGTACATAGGCCTGATGAGTTAGGGGTGGGTCTGTATACCAGACGGAACGGAATGAAATTTATTTCAGTTCCTACCACATGAAGCTACTCCATGGCAAGTTAAATTCCAACCCCCTCACCCCCTCACCCCCAACCACACTACGTCAGGTTTTCCTAACAGTTCACATACCGTACATAAAATCCTGGGCTGGGTTGTTCAGAGTGGGTTAAAAAACCTAGGGTGAAATCCGATTTCAGATCTGAAAGCTTTAAAAGAAAATTCAGTATAATTCTTTTTGTCTATAATTTGGTTATTGAATGCCGTAAATAGAATCGGAAAATTGTTCCAAAAAGGCTTTTGTGCAAAGGAACAAAGAAACCTGGATTAAAATTCAACCTAGGGTTAGCACGTATCGGTCTTCGAACAACTAGGCCTTGGGTAGGAAGAGACGGAGTGGGTGTGTCTTTTCCTGAAACGCAGCGCAATATATGACCTGGCCTTGAAAACCATTCGGTCATACTGATATCTCCTCAGAGAGAAGGAGGTTATCTCTATTTTTAGCAACTGACATTTCGATAAAGCGTGGTAAAGTTGTCTTTGTGTTCGGAGCTTACAGTAAACGCCTTCATGTCTGAGATGGAACGCAATTACCAGGAATACAGTATGCACCTTAATAATTTGGATATATCAACAAAGTTGAAATGGTAAATTGGCCACCCTAACGATTACAAAAGCTGACGTTTCGAGCGTTAGCCCTTCGTCAGAGCGAATAGAGGAATTGTGGGTTGTGAGTGCTTTTAAAGGCAAAACATGGAGCTACGTTATTGGTGGGACCATGGCAACGAGAAAAACAAGAATAAATTAGTGGAATGAAAAGCTTTCGTTGATCCCTGTGGGATTTAGACTGCCATGTTCCCATCAATAACGTAGCTCCATTTTCTGCCTTTAAAAGCACACGCAACCCACAATTCCTCTATTCGCTCCGACGAAGGGCTAACGCTCGAAACGTCAGCTTTTGTAATCGTTACGGTGGCCAATTTACCATTTCAACTTTGTTGATATATCCAAATTATTTCGTTACTCCCACCGACGCAGCCCCAAACAGTTTCTTTCGAAACTATCAGCCTTTATTCATCAGTATCCATCTTAGTTCGATTCTTCAGAAAGGACGGCATTGCAAATCACAGGCGATCTCTCTTTTCTCTTACCACAGAGGAAACCTTGAAACCAAGAGTTAAGCCGCTTAAAACGGCAACGGCAAGCCTGTGACAAAGACGCTTGCTCCAAGGTTATAAATTTAGTTAGTACCGCTAGTAGCACTGATCATGAAAGCAACAAGAATTAGCCAAGGCAGTACAGTGGCCCTGGAAAAAGAAAAAGAAAAAGAAAATATTCTACAGCTAACCAAGGCAATAAATCATTTCGCCTAAAAGCAAATAAACAAATATCTCATTACCTGTAAAGTAATTCATATCGATGAATAAAGGCTGATAGTTTCGAAAGAAACTGTTTGGGGCTGAGTCGGTGGGAGTAACGAAATAAATTGGATATATCAACAAAGTTGAAACGGCAAATTGGCCACCGTAACGATTACAAGAGCTGACGTTTCGAGCGTTAACCCTTCGTCGCTCCGACGAAGGGCTAACGTTCGAAACGTCAGCTTTTGGCGTTACGGTGGCCAATTTACCATTTCAACTTTGTTGATATATCCAAATTAATTTATATCGATGCCGAGGTATTAAATTATAAAAGATGCCATCCGTCAATTGAAACAAACCCATACCACAAAAAAAACAATGCTTCTTACTGACACTTGACGAATGATCTTTCCAAAACCGAGAGGTATAAATATGAATTCTTATGCTTCTAAAAATAACGAGATCAAGAAATGTTCCCTTAACCCGTTTTGCACAGCAGTAACCACAAACCCACTACTCTCGTCTAAGCTTAGGTCTATTTGTGACAATATTTAGCTATCGACCAAACGGTCATCGGTCAGTCAATTCCCTGAGGGTGGGGTAAGTCAATTCCTAAGGGCGGGGTTGATTTTAAGATTCAGGGCCGGTTTGTTTAAAGTTGGGTTGAGATAACGAAATATGATTTCAGAACTGAAAGCTTAAAAAGAAAATTCAGTCTCTGTTTCTGATTACAATTTGGAGATTAGATGCTCTTAAAAGAATAGATAAAATTATCCCTAAAAAACATTCGAACAAAAGAAATAAAGAAACACAGATAAAAATTCAACCCTGGGTTAGCGCTAATCGGCCTTCAACTGGGTCCTGATAGACAAACAAATTAACTCCCTCTGATGATAGAAAGCTTTCATTGCTGGAAAATGGATAGAACAGAGAGATCACAAACAGTACCTGGTTAAGAAATAATTACATTAAATATTAAATAAATTAAGCATCCGCCCTCAGTAATATCTAAATGAAGAGACCGCGTGCAGATGTTAAGAAATAATTACATTAAATAATTACATTGGATAGCAAATAAATTGAGCATCTGCCCTCAGTGATAACTAAATGAAGAGACTGCGTACTGATGTTAATTAACAACAGTTGTGTACATATTACGAAATCGCTTTCTACCAGTAGGAGAGGATCCTTCGAAGCCTTGGTTCGATGTCAAGTCCTGGCATGATACATGCACGTGTAAAAATAATATAACCTGTTCACGATTCATAATAATTATTTATTAGATAGATATTGATGAAATACCAGAATTTCTCCTTTTGCTAAAAAATCATATCTTTACCGTGCGCATGCGCAGTGAAGATACTATTTTTATCTTTCACATGTGAGGATATTGGTGTGGCCATGGTTATCAACATAATTACCCAATTGCTGTTTCGAAAATGAATAAAAAAGTTGTATTTGATGTGGAAATTTCATCAGTATCTATATGATAAACAGAACATTTCATGTGATATCCTTTCTATCTTTTCAAAACACTAAGAGGGAATATACCTTATAGCCCCCGAGTTAACATCTTCGAGTGCAAAATGCTTCTCGCAAGTGTAGACTCGATCGTTCCTTATCTAATATTTAAAATCAGAGTCAATCGCTCTTGTTTTTTTTTTAGCTCCCCAAGCCAAGCTTCGCGCTATTCACGATGTTTCTTGTCCACAGCTAGGGGCAACTTCCAAATACCAATTCCTTTGGTCCGTCTACACGATCCGCAGCCAAAAACCGCACAGTTGCGGTCTAGTATGGTATAAAAGAAATCTAACTAGTTACAACTCTATTAAAAAAAAAAACCTATAAAAATCAATAAAATAATAAAAATCTCTGTAAAATATCGCTTGTTGTCTCGACTCCTCGCTAAACGCTTCGAAATCAATGTTGGTTGTGTGCACCCTCATAATCACGTGGTCAAGTCAAAACCACAACAAAGAGATCCCTCTTTGATGTTCGGCTGGTGTTAAGTCTGGTTGAATAGTTTCCGGCCACGAAAACACTCTCGCACATCACAAGGATGTTAAGTCTCGTAAAGAAGAGATTGTGTGATCAATATCCCCTTATCAATTTTACGTTCATAATAAGTGTTCGCTTTCGCGCTGATGGGACACAACAATTCTTCTACTTTCCCTTTGTGTTTATTTCCTTTTCGGAAATAAACACAACTTGGAATGTAGTGAGTGTAGTATGATGGGACAATAGACGCATAAAATGTCGCCGTGCTCTGTCTCAATTTGTGTCGACCTCGACAGATTCCGCGTTTGTACTAGCAGTGCTTCCAAAGTCCTTTATTTCAATATTTTTCCTAGTTGTTCATATATATTTCAGCGGACTTATGAAAACAACAGATCTTTTACGTGCTAATGAACCGTGTAACGGAACTTGAGCCTCATTTCCAAAGCTGTCATAGTTTTCTATTTATAGGCAGTAACTACATTAGTTTTGCTCAGGAAGTGAAGATTTCAGGAGAATTGTCAGTCTAATCTACTCCGACAATCTTAACTTCTGATTCTAATCGAGCGTTGGTAGAGTCATGTCTCTGTTTGGCGAATACCCGTGCAAAAATGAATCAGTCGCTCCAATCTACATTTCGTTTACTACGGTCGCGGTATGTATTCCGCTGTGTCTAATTACCGTCGCTGGGAATCTACTCGTTGTGTTGGCAATCTTCATCGATCCAAACAAAGATCTCAGAGCACCTTTTAACTACTTTGTGGCCAACCTTGCCGTTAGCGATCTCTTGATGGGACTCGTCGTCGACCCGACTGCGATAGTGTACCATGTAATGGAAGGAGTTGCGAGAAAAGTACCCCCTTTAGTCTACCTTCACGTGCCGTACTTCATTTCATGTACAGGTTCTGTTCTCAGTCTAGCAGCTTTGACACTGGATCGATATTTGGCGATAACGTCTCCGCTATCTTACAGAACACAACTGAATCCTAAGCGAGCTGGTTTAGCGGCGGCTGGCATCTGGACATTCTCATTGAGTTTCCCTTTCATATACCTTGTCACGGGCTACCTTACATATTCATTTGTCTTTCTTCACACAGTCGTAGTTGTCACCCTCTTAGTCATCCTTCTCACTTATCTGAAGATATTTCGTGTGTTTAAAGATCAAGTGAGACAATGGGACTCTTTGGATCAAACGAACGTGTTCAATCAGGCTAAGAGACAGGCTGCAAGATGGGAACAGAAAGTGACCAAGACCTTTATCATTATGTTGACTCTCTTCTTGGCATGCTACCTTCCTTCTTGTATTTGCATTTACATTATCAACTTATGCGGCAAAGTCTGCAGTTGCAATCTAATTCACTGGGCAAGAGATATTCCTTCTCTACTAATTTTAGCCAATTCAGGAGTGAACCCATTTGTGTATGCCTTGCGGTTTGAAAATTTCAAGAAAGCGTTCGTAAAGCTCTTGAGGAACAGAAAGTGTTGTCGACAACAAAACCCAAGAACTGTAGCATTTGACAACGGTGGACAACTGACTTTAAGCAGTGACTAATAAAAGGCCACAAACGGGCAAGATGAGAACACAAAAAGTAACCAAGGCTGATATTGTCCCTCTTCTTGCTGTATCTCCAGTTGTACCTTTATTCCGGCAATTAGTCAGCGATTGTCATTTTGTTTTGATAACCTTTGATCCTCGCCATTTCAGGAGTGAATCCGTTCGTTCGTGCTCAGGTTCCGAAAAGTGTTTTTAAAATCCTCTGACGTGGAGCAGACCTGAACGTGAAGTACAAGTTGTAACCTTCAAAGGGAGTACTGCAAGTTGTTTTGAGTTGCGAACTATAAGTCTTTCTTTATCGAGATCCTCTTAATCTTTGGCTGGGGAAACCCAAACCATTGAACTCATCAGGAGCTCAAGTTAACATAATGCCGAGCGAATTCGATTTGCGTGAGTTTTAAAAATTCTTCATTGCCAACGAATAGGATAGGGATTAAGATACTAAACAAAGGATGTTGGTAAAAAAGTGTAGACAAACCTATCACGACTCTTACCCTCTCGATTTTGTTCACTTCGGTACGTATACATGTAGTTAAGACCATATAAGTAATCCTCTCGTATGGACTTTTCTCTCCTGTATGAGATGAAGGGAGAGTCTTTGTATATTTCTTTGAGTAAAGGTCGATTTTCTAAAAAATGCCACTTGTCTGCTTATCTTTAGATTAGGTCTGATGGACGATTATTGCGTTACAAAGGGCGGAAGTTTCATTTTTTTGATACTTCACTTCTGACACTTAAGACACTCAACTGATTTTCGCTATTGCTTAAATAGCGCTATCTATTGCGAGGATCGTACATCATATGTACACTCAACTAAATTCGCTAATAAAAAAATTGATTACAACAGCCATGGCAACAACTTACACAACATACCGAGGAGTTTTCCGAAATGGACGAACTTTCTTGCAGTCGTAAAGTTGGTATTAGAAACCAGGGTATGAGTATGAGTGTCGGGTGAATGGCTCTGCGCGCCAGGTCTAAAAATAGATACGTCATCTTTGGACCCCCCACTGGTTTAGGACAAACACTCGGAGTCTTTACAAGGACTTGTATGCGAAACGTGTCAGAGGCAAGACTATTTTCGCTCAAAAAATGCTCTAACTTTCTAAAATGGTTGCAACTAGGCATTGCTGTTGGGGTACATGTAAAAATGACTCAAGATATCCAGAAAGATTGCCAGATTCGCTTAAAGAAATGCTTAAAAATGGTCGGAAAGGCTTCATACCGTTCCCAAAGCCGAAGCATGACTTGGAACTTTGTCAATGTCGGGTAAATGCGTGTTCTAGAAAGAATTTTTCAGTTGATAGTGTTAACTACAATACTTATATTTGTGCTGTACACGGAAATCCTCGACAAAATCCTTTTCAAACCGCTTGTTTGGAAACGTTACGTAGACGACATCTTCTCGCTATGGAGTCCAAACAAAGCAACAGTAGAACGTTTCATTGAAAAAGCAAACAATCATCACCCAACAATAAAATTTACGGCTGAAATTTCCGATAAGGAAACAACATTCCTGGAGACATACATCCACAAAGGCGAACGATTCGAAAAGGACGCAATCCTTGATGTGCGTACTCATTTTAAACAAAGTGAGACGTTTCAGTATGCACACTGTAGTTCCTGTCACCCACAAGGAGTTAAGAAAGGCTTCATAAAAGGAGAGGCCCTTAGACTTCTCAGAACAAACTCCTCTCAAACAATATTCGAGGAGAAAATTGCAAATTTCAAAGCGCATTTGCTAAAGAGAGGCTACCCAGAGGCCCTCATTAACACAACCCTCTCAGAGGTGAATTTCAAAAACAGGAAACTAGCTCTTCAACAGAAACCGAAGACGAACCAACGAATCTTGCCTTTTATTACGCAATACCAACCACCAGTGCCAAACCTAAAGCAAATTCTCATGAGACACTGGCATTTAATAGAAACAAAACCAGTACTGAGCGAACTATACGAAAATCCGCCACTCGTGTCTTAAAAAAGAGGGCGATCGCTCAAAGACATGCTCCTGAGGGTCAAACTTTGAATAAGCTATTCTAAACACTCGCTGGGGAGTCGTGTAGGCCTGTCAACCCCCTTTTTACATTGAAATGTTAGATCCTTATGTTTCACGAGATGGACTTTACTTTCCTTTAGTATCTTCGCCTAAAGCCATTTCTCATCATCTATATTTGAATCAAGTACATAATGTTTTCCCGACTTGAGGTAGTCACGAACACGTGCGATGAGGTCTGCTCGTTTTCCACTTAATTTCAAGCCTCTACACTTTAAACAACGTTTCAGTTGTGTGTTTATATAGTTCTCTTGATCTTGCTCGAACTTTGAGCCAGGAACACCATCGTTTTGATTTAGAATACGAGCTTTAGAGGCGTTTGAACTACAGATGGGCGCATTACCGCCCATATTCATTTACTCGAGAAGCCTGTTTGTTTGTCCTAATCGCTCTAGGGGATCAAAATTTCGTGACGTCACGAACGCGCAGCGCCATTCGGCGCGAAATGTGTGTGATTTGCCATGCAAACTATCAGTTATTCGCCTTTTAAAGGAGGAGGGTTGGTCCAATTCCCATTCAAAATGCGAGTGTTTTTTGATTCCAAATCATAGAGGCTCTATGCAAAACGCGAGGGTTCTTTTTATGCACCATGCACCATCCTCGTAAAAGTGCCTGAAAATAAGAGAAGATATCAATGTGTTTTTTTTTTTTCATTCGTTTAGAATACTAAAAAAAGTTCGTGCCCATAGACCCATGTTATGGAAGAACTTAATTTCCAAAATTTAAAACGTTGTTTCCTACTTATCGTCTAAAGCAGAAGTAACATTCATTAGTTTCGAGTAGGAAGTGAAGTGCACTTTCTGTGCGATACAGCAAAATATTGGCGGTCTCAGGGAAAATATTTTCTCGCATTGGGTTTCGTTTCTTCCAATGAATCCCAGAAATCCCAACGTCTCATTCTAACTTAGTTTTGGTAGTGCTGTAAGTTTTATCGAGCCTTCTGTCTCTGTTTGGTGAATATTCGTGCATCAATCAATCAGTACGTTGTTCTAATCTACGTCTGGGATTTGGGATTGAATTACTCCAAATCCTTAATGACGGAAGAGCGGAAAATTACCCCAAATACTGAAAGGCGGAAAGGCGGAAAATTATCCCAAGTCCCAAAGGACAGAATAGTGGAAAATTATTCCAGATCTTAAAAGATGGGACTATAAATACAGTTTATTCCTTTGGTAGAATTAAGGGGTAGTGATGGGGAGATAACAACTGAAAACAAAAACTCGTATCATTTCAACGAGGCGACAGAAATTGCCAAAACACAGAGGTCGTATCTCAAAGATTCACTGACAGACAAACTTTATCAAATCATAGTAAGGACTTAAGTCCCACAAAGTGCGATTTTATTCTCTATGGATGTAAGCGGCCTGCACTGTGCACGAGTATTTTGCAGGAGGAAGGAATTGAAACTGTACGCGAATTTTTACGAAACCTCAATTTCGAAAAAAAGCTATGAAGAGAACATCTGAGTACTCCAAGTCGCGACATCCAAATTATCTAACTGAAAGAATCCTTACAGAGATTGATGAGGAAAAGGCGTAAAAATTTTTTATTGAGCAACTGCCAAATTACTGGAAGCAGCCCAAGCTTCAGGAGATTTATCAAGATCTTCCAATAGTTTCATATAAAAGGTGGAAAATCATTTAAAGACATACTCATCAAAGCGAAGTTCTAAAAGTCAACTACTTCGAAAATAATTTGGATATATCAACAAAATTGAAATGGTAAATTGGCCACCGTAACGATTACAAAAATAATAATAATAATAATCCTTACGGTGGCCAATTTACCATTTCAACTTTGTTGATATATCCAAATTATTTCGTTACCCCCACCGACGCAGCCCCAAACAGTTTCTTTAGAAACTATCAGCCCTTACTTCGAAAATAACCTAACCACCACAACATCAAGAGTCGTTTCGGGCTGTCAACCCACTCAACACCTAGGCTCGATTTCTGCCGCTCTCTCGAGTCCGGTCTTTTTAGTTCCTCCCCGTGAAGAGGCTCCCCGGCCCCGAGTCTCTTCGGGAAGGAGCGCGGGCTCCGGTGCCCGTACAGCGGCTGGTAATCGAGCCTACTCAACACCTCGTCAACAGAAAATCATCTCAAACAAACTGAACAGCCAACGACATGTTACACATTACGAGCAAAGATAATTTTTGGGTATTTATTTAATTTCCGAGGAAGTTATGCTCATGAGGGGAGAAAAGGGTGACGAAAGGTCTCACTCACTCACTTAAGGTGGCTCGTACCAGTTTCCTCGCGCGGGGAACAGGTCACTCTTGCGTGACGCGCGCGAGAAAAACGTGCGAAAAAAGCGCGAGATCAAAAGATGAAAATTCAAAACAAAGATGGCGGCGCGTGGAATTTTTTCTACTTTTGTGAGAAGTTTACCTAAGAGCTTGTATTTGATGTGTTGAGCGGCCACTGTGAATGCAGGAGATAGAAACTAAGATAACGAAGACGATTTTCGGAGAAGTGAATTGAATTGAATTTGAATTGAATTGAATCTTTATTAAGTCATAAGATAAATAATCACATATCCTATGTTACAACATTAAAAGAAGCTATATT